AATATTCTTTATGGATTAAAATGTGTTGTTTTTGTTGTTTTTTTTTTTTTTTTTTTTTTGGAGAAAGACACTTGTACTACTGAAAAGAATGTTCGTGCTGCTTTTGTTTGGTGGAACACTATAGATATCCATTAAGCCCATTTGTATTAAAGTTGTGGTTCAACTATATTTCTTTGTTGATGCTCCTGAAGCTTCTCTGTTTACTTGTCACAGTGGGTTACTGAAGACCCCCTCCATCTTATATTGAGGTTTATCTAAGCTTTCATGTTTAGTAGTGTTTGTTTTATAAAGTTGAGTGTGTCAGTATTTGGTGTATACATACAACTGTTACCTCTTCCTATTGAATTGTTCCTTTAACTAACATGATCTTTGCACCTTCTTGTAAGTTTTGGATTGAGGTCTACTTTGTCTGAAAATAGGATAGCTGCTCTTGCTTGTTTTGGGCATCATTTTTCTTTGAATATTGTTTTCTCTCCTATGAGTTTTAGTTTATGAGTTTCTCTTTGGATTAGGCATATTTCTTAAATTCAACATAATGTTGAGTTATTATTTTTTTAATCTGTTCTGCCATTCTATGTGTTACTGAAGCATTGAGATGATCCCTCTTTTAACCTTGGGTGTCAGGTATTTGGTGTCAGCAATGAGAAAAATAACTAATTCAATATCCAATTTGTAATAGATAATACTACTGTAACTGATTTGCTTGCTATTCCTAGGCCACATAATTGTTGCTATTTCTCTGTAAGCCAATACTCAAATTATCTGTGTGACATTTTTCAATACTAGAGTACATTCCCAGAAAATTTCATGTTGAACTAGCTGTATTTTGTCTTCCCCTCCCAAATTAACCAAGGGTCTCAGATCATAGACCTGAGGCAAAGGACTATAGCTAGTCGTGCTCAAAGTAATTCACTGAAAAACAACTAAAAGGATCTCTATACTAGTAATAAAGTCTTTGCAATATAAGTATCCACAACCTTAGCACAAAAAAATAGAAACATAAGCAGATAAGGCAAAAAAAGTGCCTCCCAAAACTTCTAACTCCCCAGTCAATAAAGTAGTCATCAAAAGGAAAGGAATAAGCCATACATATGAATTATTAATTAATAAATAGACATGAATAAAAAGCTATATGAGCTTAAAAAGTGAAAGAAAACATTTACGACAGGTTTAGCAAATGATTAGAATCCATGAAATGGTCTCAATCTGAAATACCAGAGATTAAAAATTATATTGAAAATATGAACATCAGAAGTGACCAGTGTGATGACTATGATGCCTTCAAAAGCCAATTACTCAGACACCAGAGAACATAAAACATAACTCCAACAGCTTCTAGATGATGCAAAGAATAATTACCTAAACTGAGTTATCCCTAAATGGAAATAATCCCAACACTCAAGAGGCTGACGCAGGACAATAGTGATGAGTTCAAGGCCAGCCTGAACTACGTACCCAGATCCTTTTTCACACAAACAAACAAACAAGACTAATCTAAGATTAACTGAAATAAGTGAAAAATCAGACTAAAACAAAAATGGCTTTTTAAAACACTGTTCACAGAAATAATGGCAGAAAACTTTCCAACCATAGTGAAAAAAATAAACATACAGATAAGTGAATCAAACAAAGCCCCAAGAAGCCATAACCAAAAAAGACCCTCTCCAAACCAAATTATATGCCAAAGATGAGAAGTCAACCACTGGGACAAAAATTTTAAAAGCTGTTAGACAAAGGCAACAAATCATATATAAGGCTAAACCTATTAGAATTATAACAGATTTCTATTCACAAATTTTAAAGGTCAGGAGGGCTTAGAGTGAAATACCACTTGAAAAAAATTCAACATCATTCATAAGAAAAAACTCTATGTAAATAGATAGAGAACATCTTTATCTCAATCTGATAAAAGATGTCTATGACAACCCAATGGCCAACATCATGTTAAATAGAGAGAAACGAAAAACTTTCCCACTAAAATCAGGAAAAAGCAAAAATGTCTGCTTCACATCCTAGTTTAGTGTAGTTCTCCCAATTAGACAAGAGAAATAAATAAAAGGGATATGAATAGTTCAAATAGAAATTTAAAAATTACTATCTCCAGATGACATGATTCTCCACATAAAAGATCCCAAAAACTCCATGAAAAGACTTTTAGAATCACTAACCAACTTCATCAATATAGTAGGATATAAAGTCAGCACTTAAAAATAAACAGCATTTCTGTATACCAATAATAAACTCAGCAAGAGAGAAATTAGAGAACAATATCTTTTTCAATACTATCAAGAAAAATAAAACACTCAGGAATTAACCTAACCAAGGAAGTCAAAGACCACCACATGTAATACTGAGGTGTTCTAGAAAAAGAGATCAAAAGGAGTATACCAAAAAATGCAAGATATTCCTCACCCTGTTCCTGCATAGGTAGGACCAATGTAGTCAAAATAGTCATATTTCTAAAACTGTTATAAAGATTTAATGCAATCCCAATCAAAATATCAATAGCATTCCTCACAGAGCTAAACAAAGCAATCCTAAAATTCATACAGAATCAAATGAGACCTAGAATAACAAAAACATTTCTGGCCAATAAGGGCGAGGTAGAGGGTATCACAATGCGAAACTTCCAATTATACTACAAAGCTACAGCATGATATTGGGGGAAAAAAGACTTCTGGATCAGAAGAACAAAATAGAGGATACATAAATGACTCCAGGCACATTAGCTACCTTATCTCCAGCAAAGGAGCTAAACATCTTTGCTGCAAGAAAGACAGTCTCTTTAAAAAACGATAATGAAAAAACTGGCTATCCACAAGCCAAAGACTGAACCTAAAACCATGTACTAAACTAAAATAAAAAGATTAAAGATCTAGATATTAAAACAAAAACATCTGCTGGAGGACAAAATAGGCAAAACTCTTGACATAAGCTTAGGCAAAGACTTTTTGAACAGAACTTCAGTTGCCCAAGAAATAATACCAAGCCTCAACAAATAGTATTACATCAAATATAAAAACTTTTGCACAGCAAAGGAAACCACTAGCAAAATGAAGAAAGAATCTATAAAATGGAAAAAAATTTGCCAGCTACTCCTCACACAAAGGGCTAATAGCTAGAATAGATAAAGAATTTAAAATTTACACCCCCTCACACACATATTTAAAGACCCAATGAAAAAAATGAACATCTGAAACGAATAGACACTTCTCAGATGAAGACAAACAAATGGCTAATAAACAGATGAAAAACTGTTCAACATCACTGGCCATTCAAGAAATGCAAAATAAAGTAACACTATGTTTCCATATCACTCTAAAAAGAATGACCATCATCAACAAATCAAATGATAATAAAAAGGAAAAAGGAACACTTCTTCACTGTCGATAAGAATATGAACTGGTAAAAACCACTATGGAAAACAGTATGAAAATTTCCCAAAACTAAAAGTATGAATTCCATTTGACCCTGCTATTCCCCTTCTAGTCATCTTCCCCAAAGAGTTAAAGACATTCTATTATGGTGCATTCACATGTGTATAGTAGCACAATTCATATTAACTAAATGTCAGACAGAGCCTATATGTACACCAACAAATGAATGCATAAAGAGACTGTGGTGTTTATACACAATGGAGTACTACTCTGCTATAAAGAAAGATAAACTTAAGTCAGAATGCATTTACCTCCAGACCATAATGTTAAGTGGAATAAGTCAGACACACAGTGTAAATATCTCATGGTTTTTCTAATATGAGAAACTAAATATATATAAATAAATATATATATAAATATATATATTTATATATTTATAAATATATAAATTATATATATTTATAAATATATAAATATATATTTTTTTATATATAAATAAAGTACAAAATAAAGGACAGACAATAGGGTAAATAAAATACAAAATAAGTTATTGTAATCCAGCATGACCAATATATCTGAAGGTGTACCTTGATTTAGCATAATTGTCTTATGTGTTTATATGGTTTTTGGCATGTTAGTCTGGCTTTTAATCTGTGTTTATGATAATTAACTTGATAAAAACTTACAAAATAAATAAATGAATCTGATGCTGGTCAAAAAGTGACCAGGCCTACTTCATGTCTCCACCATGAACATCAGTGGTGAGCCTCTGCACGGAGTAGCCAGTCCTGTCCTTGTGCAAGGTATTTCTCTTCATAAACCGTGTATGTTAAAAAAGGCAGGTTTTTCCTGAAGTTCTGCCAGGGTCATGCCCCTATTCATGATGTTTGGAGTTGTGTATGGCAGGTATATTTTACAGACTTTTCTCACATTACACATCTGAATACATATTCGAAAAGATCCCTTCATAAGGAAATAACTCACAATGGGCAAAGCAGATTAGATAATCTGGCAAGGTTACTTTGCAGTTTATAATAGAAAAGCTAACATAAAAACACAAATTCTTCTATAAAGAATATTGATTAAGGTAATTGTATTTGTGATACTTGTGGCACATAACGAGGGCATTCATCATGTGTAGCTGGTGCCCGGCAGGCACAGCATGTCCTCACCCTTCCCATGTCCCTACCCCACCATCCACTCCTGCTTCTTCCAACTCTGTCCATTTTCAGTAAAATCATGTTTAAAACTACTCAGAGGTACTTGAATTCTTCTTTGATGATAAATGAATAATGGCATATTATCGACACTCATGTGTTTCTTGAATCAACAACAAATCTCCTTAAGCTATTATGAAAATGCAAGCAATAGCACTTTGGAATAGTTTTAACATCTCAAGTAATAATGCTATGTTCAATTTCACACAGGTTTGAGAGTACTATGTTTGCCAATGTTTTGAAAAACTGAAAGAAAAATAATTTTATTATAGTCACATTTATATGAAATGTAGATTTTTCTTTTCTTTCTCATAAGAAAACCAGTTTTAACTGTATAACTTTCTATAATACTGAAAAAATTTAACTACTTCCTCATGTGAGACTGACCCCACTTTTTGTTTTCCAGATCAAAAATCTTGCTTTTACCACAGTGATGTTCAAATAATGAATGTTGAATACAATGATCAGTTAAGCTCACCCGGTACACAAGAATACAGGATTTTGAGTGAAAGGATTGAATCTATGGTATGTTAATGCTTGTCTTTCTTCTTTATTCCATTAAAAATAAATACCATAATAAACCTAATGTTTTATAATGTATTTTCAATTGCTAGATGCTCTTTGTCTTTTCTTTCTTTGAGTGGTAAAAGGTGTTTCTCTACACTTTCTCTAGGTAGTTTCTTAAAGTACTGGTTCTTATTGACATGTTTTTGTAATGAGTGGAAAGTGCGAGGCAGGCCATAAATAAATACATATTTGATTTAATTTCTGCAAAGCCTGGATACTTGGCATGTGTGCTAAGTACTGAGATTGTCTTTTAAATCCCTTTAATTTTGCCCCTTTATTCTTTCCTTATCCAGCAAAACACAGGAAGTAGTGTTAAAGGACATCATTACCATAGAGCATAGTTTTCACAGTATCACATTTTGTCTCAATGATAAGCCTAAAAGGAAAAAATGCGAAGCAAGCTTTGGTGCTCACTCAGAGAGGCCACAGGCTGCCAGCTAGGTCCTCCTCTGTCACTGGCCATCAAGCCTGCAGATCAGAGATGTCCAGACTCAGACTTTCTTCCTTTCCTCACTTTTTTAAGAGTCCTAAAAATATAAATTAGTCTACTATAGAGGATTAAACAAGTCTACAAGATTTACAATGTAAAAATACACAGGGAGTATGAGTTCACGATAAGGGGGTGAATATAGTGGGTTAATTATGCTCAATATGGAGATCACAGACAGCTTTCTCATAAAAGACGACTTTTCAGGTTGGTCTTGAGAATAAATCAGACAAACAATGGCTAAAACTTGAGCCAATGCATAGACGTAAGAAAGCGCTTCGTTAGCAAGTTTGGATCTTATTTTTGGGTAGCAACTCTTGAGCTGTAAGTAACATCCTGAAAACAGGACCTGACATATCCATGTTCAGAACTGCATAAATTAAAGAAAGAACGTGAACACAGAAAGACTAATTCTAAGTTCATTACAGTGCTGTAGAGAACAAGCACAAAGATAACTCCCTAAACTAAAGAATACTTTAGGAACTGTAAAAATGCAGATAAAACTTCATCTTGGACTGATCATTCTTAGAAACTACTTTGTCCACCCAGTCTGTTCTGAGAAATGCACAGGAATGTTTAGTTATATCATTTTTACTGTGAAATCCCATAATTTGGAGTTCAAACCAACAGACAAACCTAAATTTCTTCACACTACGCACCAAGATACAAGCCTGTAGGAGAGCTCTACCACTAAACTACATTCCTAACCTTCTTTTTTAGGTTTGTTTTATTGTTCTTGTTTTGCTTTGTTGTCTTTTGGAGACAGGGTTTTGTTATGCAGTTCAGGCTGGCCTTGAACTTATTTCATAGCCCAAGTTGGTCTGAAACTCACAGCGATCCTCTTGCCACTGTCTCCCAAGTGCTCGAGTTCCAGGCATGCACCATCAGGCCTGGCTTAGTTTTTAGGTTAGAATTATAATTGTATTCCACATTCCTGATGATCCTGCTTTTTCATACATTCCTGCATCTTTGAGAGATTATATTCTTAGGACATAGTCCTAGAAGGAAAATTACCATATCAGGGGTTCTATTTATTTTTAACTTCACTCTCAAGATTTTTCTAATCTAATTTAAAATATAAAAATGTATTTTAGAAGCAGCTTAAATTTATGGAAAATTTCTTAGATTATTCTAGAAATTTGTTATTGTTAATAAACTGGTGTTGCTAAACCGTTACTAATTAAACTCTCAGATTTAGGTTTTCTTGGTTTTTACCTTGTATCTTTTCCTGCTCCAGACTTTCATGCAGAATATATTACATGTATTTGTCATGTTTCCTTAGGCTAATGCTGCAGATGATGACACTTTCTCAGACTTTCCTTGTTTTTGATAAAATTGACAGCTTTGACAAGCGGTCTTACCTACTTTTAGTGGTCTACCTACTTTTAAATCGAATTTAAATATTTATTTTAATTTCTGGGTTGCACTCCAGAAATACCTGTTAATATTACCATCGGCAGATATAAATCTACATGAGTGTGCTTATTTCCCCTTCAGCGTTAACACTAGACATTGTAAAAAGTTTCAGTTGTTAAATCAACACGTGAGTAATGATACCTCATTATTATTATGGTTTGCACGTCTTAATTACCAATGAGATTTAATCTGCTTCTATATACTAATAGTTTATTTTTATGATTTCATTTGTGACTTGCTGGTCACAATCTTCCTGTTTTTTCAGTTGGGGCCCTTATAAATGTTTGTTTATACACTGAATTTGTCTGCTACCCATGGTGCACATTTCCCTATTCAGTGAGTTAGCTTTTAATACTGATTATAATGTAGAGATTTTATGCCAAATAGAAGATTTACTTTGTTTTGTTTTGCTTTACTTTGCTTCCTTTTTGTTTTTTTTTTTTTGTTTTTGTTTTTTGTTTGTTTGTTTTAACACAAGACCTCGCTATGCAGCCCAGGCTGGCCTTGAACTCATGGCGATTCTCCTGCCTCAGCTTTTCAAGTGCTGGCATTACAGGTGTGTGTCAACACACCTGGCTTGAGTTACTTTTTATGTGGCCTAAGTTACAAATTCCTTTTAGAGTACTCATTTCTATGCCAAATTACGAATGTCTTTCTTGATGGCCACGGTGGCACACGCCTATAACACAAGCGATCGGGAGGCTGAAGCAGGAGAATCACCGGAGTTTGAGGCAGCCTGAACTACATAATGAGACCTCATCTCACAAAAGAAGACAAACAGACAAAAATTGAGGAAAGTTTTTCCCTACCTTAAATATCGTTAGATGTTCACTCACGGTTTCTATCTTTACATTTCCAGTCATTACACTTTTATTTCTAATTCATCTAGAATTTTTGATATATGTATTGAAACTTTCGCTCCATGCTAGCTAGATGACAGTCTCAAAACAGTGTATAACTCAGGTACCCATCGCCTTTGCCATTTGCTAAGTGCCTCCTTTTCCGTTCCTGTACTCCAATCGATACTTCACAGATTAATTTCTGCAGTAGCACCAGAATTTTTAGAGAATTGTTGTTTGATAATATAGTTAATATTTCCAGATTTCCCTTGAAATTTTTCCTTAATGTTATATATCTATCCTTCTGTACAAGGATAGGCGTTTAAGGGCCGGAGTTTAAGTTCAGCGGCACAAGCGCTTGTCTGACAAGCACAAAGTCGGGAGTTTGATCCCTGGTACCATAAATAAATAAACAAACAAACAAACATTCAAGACATTTGAACATGTGGAACCTCACATGAAAAATCATACAGTGCGTGACTGATTACAAAGCACTTTCACATGCATCGCCTGCTTCACAGAGGCCGTATCAATGATTACTGCATCTGTGCAGACGGATGGATGGAAACTGTGAGGTGAAGAGACATGTTCAAGGGTCTCCTTGTGCAGGACAGGAGCAGCCACAGCTTCCTGGCTGCAGGCATCACGCCATTGTCCAGAGATCTCAGGCAGTGCCTTTACCGTGGGCACTGGAAACCGTGGTAACCCTGGGCGAGCGGTTGTCTCGGAACTTTCTTTTACGTTGTCACTTTTTTGTTCAGAGCCTCAGTTTATCAGTAAAATAAAGTAGCTGGAGTAGATGGATTTTATTGTACATTCTCACTTAAAGAGGTTAAGTTTTGTGATTTTCCCGAGATTCTCATGCACCGGTTCACCCACGTTTTCCCCCTACCGCCCTGGCCAGTCCCTGTTCCTGGCCTGATGCTCCCCTGTGGTACGCTGCCAACAAAGGCTGAAATTCCTCGAGGCTTTGCCATGTGCCTCCTTCCCTTCTTGTGCTGTGTTCTCCTTCTTGAGGATATCTGTGTCCAGTACTTCAGCACTCCTTATGTGTCGATGACACACTCCTTCTCCAGCACACGCCATACCTCTACACTGCAGAGCCCTTCACTTCATTGTCAGCTTGACGTCTCCGTGTGGCCACTTGGAGACACTTCAGACACATTATGACTCAACATGGGACTCACGATGTTCCCACACCACGCTCGCTTCCTGCCCGTAGCCCTCTCCATATTCACGATGATGCTGTTTATTCAGTTCTCCACGCCAGAAAGCTGGAATTCATCCCTGCTCTGCCAAATTCCTCATCCATTACCAATCCTTGCACAGTTTATCCCTCAGTTTCCCTCAAATCCACCCATCTGCTGCTGTCAGGCCTGTCCAAGCCACACTGAAATAGCCTCAAACTGATGCATCCATAGCTATCATTTCTTCCATGAAGCTGCTATGCATGTGTGGCAAGAGAACTTGCAAATCTGATTATGTTTCCTCTTGCCTAACATACTTTTGGGTTTCCTGTTACTTGTAATGAAACCCAAATGCTTCACACCCACCGTCCTGTACCTCATTTTCCACTTCCGGCCCCTAACAGCCTCACATGCAGCTGCACTGGCCTCTCTCATCCTTGCTCACCACCTGGCTCTTCCCTCCTCAGGAGCCACAGAGGAGAATTTTTCTTCCTCTTCAGCTCACAAACTCTGATTCTCCCTGATTATTTCACCTCAATAAACACCTCCTCTGAGCTGTGTCCAGCATCCATTGACCAGATCAAATCCTTACGGGACCATAAAGTATTTACAGATTTAGTCAGTTTCAGATGACTGTTTTAATATCTGTCTCCCACCACTAGATGTAAGCCCCACACTTGCAGGGACTCTGTTTTGTCTCACCCTTGTATTCTGATACAAGACACAAAGGGAGTAACATGTGCATAAATAAAAGAGGACACAGAAAGAAAGTCAGTAAATAGCAATTAATCTTACCACATCATTTACCCCATCAGGGCTTTGAGGTAAAATTCATTTCAGGTATATCTATCTAACATATATTGACTATTCTCTAATGCCTCAAAGACAACTCAGTACATGCTCGAAATTTGAAATGTCTGTCAAGTGAATGAACAGCTATGTATTCCGTAGAGTCCTATACTAAGTCCTAGAGACGCATTACAAAGTCCTGGTCCTGGCCACTGTGAGCTCACAGCAGTCTGAGAGTAGGCTGTACACCCTGGCATCCCAGAAAGAACAAGCAGTTCACTGAGCAGTAATACAGGAAAGTACTCCAAGGTCTCCTGCATGAATTTTTCACACACAAAATAATTTAAGAAACAGAAAAATTAAAGTTAAACTTAGCCTCTTTAGTTGTCAACACACAGATTGACCTGCTTGGTCTTATGTCAGAAAACCATGCACAGTGTGTAAGACAGTGACCTGAGGGAACCAAGCCATAGCACAGCCATATCCACTGGGCTTCGGGGCCGGCCCTTTGTTTTGTTTTTTTGTACCGGGGATCAAACTCATAACCTCATGCTTTCCAGGCAGGTGCCTAACTCCCCAGCCCTAGGGCTGGCCCTTTTATCCAACCCTGAAAGTCAACTAAATCCTTCAGAACCGGCTAGGGCTGGGGAGGAATGCTGCAAAAACAAACATATAGGCCAGCAATTTGAAAATGACAGTAGTATGCGTATATAATAGTGAGCAAGTCATTGCATGGAAACATAATAAGAAAATGGTCACCTCACCTTCTCTCACACCCATATCACTAGATAAAGCAACGCCAACCAGTGATGGAGTTCTCAGAAGATAATAAATCCTGTACCCCTGTCATGCTTGCACACACATGCATGCACACACACAGTATATATGTTCCTTCAGGGGATAAGTGTGAGAAATCGATAGCTTTTGAAATTAAATACTATGGAAAGAAAACTTTACAAATATGTTTAGCCACGTATCTGTCATTAGTTGATCACATGTTCATTTGTTTTATTGAAAACGATGGAAAGTATGTTATTTATAAAAGTCTTAGATCTGATTCCGGGTGCCAAAAATAAGTCTTAGACCTGCATCAAATTATTATATTTGATAGGAATTAACTATCATGTTCAGTAGATTTTGAACACAGTTCTTTAATATATATTTAATATATATATAAAACATACATATATATCACTTTGCATTTGGTTTGCAAGCACAGCAAATTGACATGAGATAAAATGAAAAGCCTCTTGCTGAATTTCCACAAAATCTTGACAACTTAGTACTATGATTTAAGTTCTACCGATGATAAATTTTTGAAATTGCATAGTTATCTGAAAACACTTTCAACACTTACAATTAAATATTGAAATTAAGCCCAGAATCAGGCTTTTGAATCATGTTATGACATGTTTTGAATCAGGTTATGAATTTATAATTTTAAAAATTATAAATTCTACACAGTAAGATTTTAACCCTGAAAATATTATTAAAATATATAATAAAATCACTTTGTTTTATAATTTAGCTTTTCCTAATTGTGTATAAGTTTTATAATGTGTATTGTTAGTACATTAGAGTTATATGTATATAATTTATTAATATATATATTGTATATTTTCCTACTCATGTATAAAATGTTTTACCCATAGGACTACATAGTCAAAGATATTTGGATTCTAGTGCAGTAATAGATCATACTGCCACATATCTTATTTCTTTTCCTTGAAAACTACTTTTCCAGATTTTCTGGTCAAACTAAGTAGAAACAAGCCATAAAGTGGTAGAAAATAAAATCACAAAAACATTATTCTTATGATTCCACTCATAAATTATGTGAGAAATTAAAATATTAAATAATAAAACACTAAAGGAGATTATTTATCTGATATATTTAGAAACAATAGGATCTTTCCCTTGTAAAGATGAAAATATGAGCCAATTGTAGACATTAAACATATAATAAGTAATAAATATTCACCACTTACCATTTATATGACTTGTTCCATTAATATATTTAATGATACACACTTTGTTAGAACTTAAACAGTCCATAATTCATTTCAGTATATATCAATAGTGGATTTTCCTGTGGAGAATTATAAATTACCCTAGAAGATTAAAAAACAGTATTGTCGCCTTCAATTAGGAAAAAAAATATTAAATAGCTTTCTTTTTGTTGTTGTTTCTTTGGTGTTTACCTACAATAATAAATATTCAACAACACAAGTTACAGAGTCAAATAGATGTGACAGTAAACTCATTTTAACAGATTAATAATTTTGGAAGGTGGGAAAATACAGAAAAGAAACCAAGAGGAAAAAAGGGTACATGATTCATCAGTGTTCTCACAGCAAACTGAATACCCTGCATACATGCAGCCTGGCACCTTGCCCACTACCAGTGGGTACAATCTTTCAGCATCTGATCACTGCATAAGTTCTGAAGAAAACCAATAACAATATTTCCCCCTGCTCTGTGAGATAAAGAATTTCTCCCTTAGGTTCCATCTTTTTGGTTTGTATATGTACATCAGCCAATTGCTTTTCCATGTCGCTTATGATTGTAGTCTTCATCAAGTAACTCATAACATTTCCACATAATGGACACTTCAGAATTGAAAAGGATCTTTTATACTTTGGTCCAGGGCGCCATGCCAGGGTAATGTTCAACTAAGAATTAAAATATAATGACAGGAAATAATTACCCAAAATTGAGCAATTACTTCAGTTTTATTTAGGTTTCTGTTGCATCCATTAAAGACATAAAATTAAAGCTAAATCCTTTATTAAACTATTTCTTATGATATTCTATAGTAATAAAGATACCCTTCTCCACAGTGTAACTGAAATATAGTTCACCAAATTGAGCAGTGGCTAACTCCAGATTGTAGAATTTAAAGTGATTTTTGCTTTCTTCTTACCACTTGCTAGTATTTCTTGCACTTTAAAAAAGGAACATGAATTAACTTAACAAATTCCATAGCTTCATAATTTTTTTAAAAAATTTATGACCTCTAGGAAAATAGAAAATTATTTTCCCAACAACCCATTGGTCTGGTATCTACCAATCAAAAAACAGATATCAAAAAAATAAGATATATTGTAGGATAACATATGATAGTTTGCATGTACCTTCCAGTATCAAATGAGTTGACTTCAATCTTGGCTAAATGTAAAATTCAGCATTCCACTTAATTCCCCATTTTAACCTTTTTACATCAGCATGCATGTGAGTGCCCCCTCACAGCGTATGCGAGCATATACTCCACTCTCCACTCTAAATCCACAGTACACCTGCACCTGCACCTCAGAACCCTGACAGGCACGAAGCCTCTCTGCTGATGGAGCAGAACTTTCTGCTCCTAGGTGCCCATCATTGCTGGCACTAAGCAGTGATTCAGGGAGACTGTTATGGTTGGGTCAAGAAATCACCAACTAATGCTCAAAGTAACCTCTGGCATTCAGCAATGGATCAGAAATGACACAGAAAAGACTGCTGTTTCTTTCATTTTCCTCTTGCCTTTAAGCTTCCATTGCTAGTCATTTCGTGCTGCTTTTATGTGGGCTTAGCTATTAAAAAGCAGTTGGGAATCGCACACTGAGCTGTTGAGTGGTTTCCGTACTGTTGATTTGGCTCTCACCACAACACCACACAGCAGCCGACAAGTCACATGACACAGCTCTCAGAGAGCAGGACAAGGGGGCAGGCAGAAGGACTTTTACTGAAAATGCCCCTGCTCAGTGTCATCTCTGCTTGATAGATAAAGAAACAGACCCCACATGAAAAGGTTGTGCTCCCCACCTGAAGCAATCCCACACTGCTGTGATGGAATCGAGTTGCACTCAACAGAAAACTTAGGTCTCTACTCATTAATAGAAGTCCCATGTTGCAAGGTTGGGAGAAAGGAAAGGAAGAACTAATCACAAAAACATTTTCTCCTTTCTCTCTACAGATCACTAATGCATTCCAGCAGTCCAATTTAAGAAATCAGTTTATCAGAGCCCATGTTGTAAGACTGAGGTGAGTGAAATGATTTCTAAAACTATGGGAACTCAGATGCCGCTGGGCGCCTGGCCTTTGGTCGGCAGCATGGATTATGGATGACATGCTCACCCTCTTTGAGATAATATGGGAGTGAAGTCCTGAGCAGCCTGAAAAACAGTGTCCCAGACATGCTGTATGATTACCTAGCTACTAATTAAGTGACCATCTGGCTTCAATTATTAATGGGGAAAGGAAGAAAAACTGGAGTCCAGGCACAATGACCGTGCCGTCCTACCTTGTAAACCCCATGCTTTCCACTTGCAATGCAACCTGTAAGCAGCGCCTCTGGAATTGTGTAAGGTTTTGGCCCTGTGCCTGTTCAGCCAAGAACAGAACACTATAGCCAACATCAGCAGTGGCTTTTTGGTTTCATCTGCCTGGAATGCTACAATAAAAGGACGCTCTAGCCAAATCTATGTCACGCTTGTCACGGGCTAATGACAGGAGGAGTAGCAGCATGTATGCTACTTATTTACCATCCCTGCCTTAGTTAAATATGCATCTGTCCATGGGATGTGATGAAACAGGCCCTCCTGATCAAAATAGTCACAGTGACTGACCCTCCCACAAGACTTAAGTGCCCGCATTGCTCAATCCTTCAAATAATACACAGAACGTCTTTGGTTGGGAGAGCAATTATACTAATTCTTTCTCAAGTACTGACATCACAAAAATTGAGCATAGCAGGCTGGTCAAACAAGTTTTAATGTGGATTTAAAGGAGCTGGAAGAGTCTATGGGAAGGAAATTTTCCAAAACACATTTCAGTGAGTTCCTATCACCTTTAGGACTTTTGTGTCAAGCCTTCTATAGTATCTACAAATGCTCAGTGGTTCAAAACCCCAGAATTTGTGTCACCTAAAGAAGCCACATGCATTTTTTTGTTCACTTACCATTTTCCAGTCTGGCCTCTGACCACACCACAAAATTCAAACTGCTCTTGGCAAGTTCAACAGTGACACTCAAATCACAAAACTCAAGGAAACCATGCTGCCTCTTCAGATAGTGTGTGCCACTTTGGATCTGTCCTTGGACCCAGTGTCTTCTCAGTTTGTATTTTCTCTTCACCATCAGTATGCTGTGTGGAGTCAAAGCTGTATCTCTGGGACAGTCTTTTTTTCTCTAGACACGTATATGTCATACCATTTACTTAACATCACTCCTGGATATCTCGTTGACAGCTCGACTTTAATATCCAGACCTGAACCTACCCTCTCCCCTACCAAATATGCCACTCTACTGGCATTGCCAGTCTCAGCCAGAAACATCACCGTCAACCTGGTTGCTATAGAAAGAAATCCTCACAATTATATCTAATAATTATCTTCCTGCCACCTTCTTGCTGCTCTTGAAGCACAAGGCCATCACCTGTGTCTCTTCTGGACAACAGTCATGAGCCTCTGCCTCAGTTTCATTCTGTCTCACACTCTGCATGAGCACAGAAAAGGAGGTTAAGCAAAAACCCAAACGTACTATTAATTTTGTTAAAAATATTATAATGTCAACTCTTTACCCTTATGTGTGACAGTTCAGATAGATAGATAGATAGATAGGAAGGTAGATAGGAAGGTAGATAGACAGATATACATATATATAATTTTTACTAAAGATATATGTATTCTTGATATAGGTATAATGCATATGTAGGCATATGTGTATATTTGTTCATGATACATGTACAAATGAAATATAAAGATGTAGATATGCATAGGATATATATAAGATATATAGGAGATACATATATTAATAGTGTGTGTCAAAGTATATTAAACCTTCCTTCATCCCTTTTCATCCTTCCATGTCCATCTCTACAGTTATTGGTCACCAATTTCTATCTCATTCTTTATTCACTGGCCCCAACACACTTCTTTTAGTTCTCCATCTTGAACTTCAAGGCTTTGTATAGTTTATTCCCCCACTGAAACATATTCACATATTCTCTCTTTCAATCACTTTCTCTCTTTCAACCTCTCTCTCTCTCTTTCTCTCTTTCTCTCTGTCTCACACATGCACACACACACATACTTTTCCCTCTTTATTGTAGGTTTCAAACTATAGCACATTATTAAGATACAATAGTATCATAATATCAGGAATTGATTACCATCTACAAAAGGAGAGGAAGGAGCTTCTAGCATCAGTTGGAAGTGAGGAGGTCAGCACAGGTCAAGCAGTGACCAGAGGGAGAGCTAGGAGCCTCTGTGAGGCTGCTGCATGGAGCACTGAGTGAGGAGAGTAAGCCAGGTGTAGGACTGACTGGGCTGGGTAATTTTAGAGGGCTCTGGAACCAGGGACTGCCCCCAGGTGATCATTAAAGGGGCTGGATAGTGGCTTAGATTTTGAAAGCCCAGTCAAGGAAGTGTTTGGGGCATGGATTCTGGCTTAGCTGGTTTTTGGTTAAAATGCATGTTCAAAAGTAAGTTCTTTACTAGTGGTGGGAACTGGATAGAGAAGAAGAGAAGGCCCCACAATGGCAAGGATTCAGAACACACAAAATAAGTGTCACAATTCACACATCTTCAACTAGTCATTTCTTACTCATGTTCCAGTTCTCAGAAGAAATGACCCTTCCCTGTCACTCCTGCCAGACATTTTGAGCACAGAGAAAGGGAGAGGCCATAATAAACAGACCACCTGGCTTTATACCAATCCAGATTAGTCAAATATATGTTTTGCCATATTTTAAACTGTTTTGAGAAATCAAAACTTACAAAAATGGTTTAAATCTCCACTGTGCTCTATCCTAATGCCATTCTCCTCTTACCACTAACTTTTATTTATCCAGTGACTACTTCATAAGCACTTGCTGTATGCCAGATACTACATGTAATTCTAAGTATAGAGCTGCTGTTAAGCGCAGAACAAAAATGAATACCAATTTTGATAAGCGATGTGTTCCAGTAAGGGAAGCCACATGATAAACAACAAAAACCATTGTCAGAAGCATATCTGCAGGATAAGGAGCTAGAAACACAGAGTTAGGATTCTTCATATGAGAACAATGCAAGGATTCTCCCATGATTGAACAGAGAAATGAAGAAGACAAAAGTAAGCATTGCAAATAGAGGAGGGAAGAGCATTGCAGGTAGAAACCAGCAGGTTCTCCATACAGGAATCCACATGTGGCCTTAACAGACAGGAAGGATGCCTGTGCAATTGGAGCAGAATAAACAGCTGAAATGTATAGGGCATAGTCATAGAGATCTCATGAAAGGTAAGATCACGCAGGTATTTTAGGCCAAGGCAAAGAACTCTGGGGTTTGCACTGGATGACATGGAAGCCACTAGATAGCGGTGACATGGTCCAATTTAAGATTCCAAAGGCCTAGTGCACAACTGTGTGGAGCATAAATTGGAAGGGCGAGAGCCCTCAAAGCATGAAACCTCTCACAAGGAACTCCAGGAAGTACAATCCACACTTTGGCCTCCTTTACTAGGATGATATTAATAGTGGCAAAATAAATGAGATTCCACATAAGCTTTTAAGACAGCTTTGACAAGACTGATGTTGAATGTGAAAGAAGAGAATTCCTGGGTGATTTTCTCTTGTATTATCCTATACATTCCTATTATAAACACATCTAAATCCTCCATATAAAATTGTTCGGAAAATTTTCCAATTCTGCATAAATAACACTATACAGCATCTTGCTGCAACCTTATTCAAATCATTTTATGTGAATTGACATTAATACAGCTAAGCCTCACTGGCTTAACTCTTGCATATTCCTTCATTTATCACCGTACTGGACAAATACACTGCAGTTTATTCATCCACAGCATCTGATGAATATTAACTTTTTGACTTTCTAAAAATCCCACAATGGCATTATTTACATATGCCCACATGAAAATGTTTATCTAAAAGTACAGTTTCCAGATGCTGAGGTTCAAGGGTCTTCAATTTTACTAGATGTTGATTAAGGGCCCACAAACATTGTTGCAGAAATCTGCACCTTAACTAGCAGTGTAGGAGAGACCTCTCACTGATATTATGACATAGTCAGGCTTCAATTAAATTTTTACTAACCCAGTGTGTGAAAAATGATATTCTCCAGCTTTACTTCTACAAAAACATACAGGCTTTAGATTCAAACCACTCGTGAAAATCCTAGTGCTGACTCACCAGCTGCATGACCACTGGCAAGTTATTTACTTCCTATAGATACCAGTCATTTGCCCATTTTCTGAGCTCCAAATGTTTAAAGTATTTATTCTCCCATATTTTTGTTAAAGTTTTAAATTTTTGATATTCATATCCAGGTTTTAAATTTTGTTTATAGTATGATGAAAAGATTTAATTTTTCCACACAGGCAATGTTCCTTTCTATTTATGATAGCTCTTCTGTGTAACATTGATTATAGAGGATTATGAGTCTATTTCTGGATAATAAATTCTGTTCCTTCCTATTAAGTTTAATAATTATATTGTTCTCTCAAAATCTACCATTATGGAGTTGTCTGTTCCTCTCTGCTTAATATACTTTCAGGAAATACTATTAAATTACATAAATGTTTAGAACTATAATAATTTCCTCATCCAGACCTTTTTTTTTTTTTTTTTTTTTTTTTGGTCTTTTTGAGACAGGGTTTCACTATACGTTTCAGCTTGGCCTTGAGCTCACTTTGTAACCCACACTGGTCTTGAACTTTTAACGATCTTTCTGCCTCAGCCTCCTGGGCACTGGTATTACAGGCATGTGCCCCCATACCTGGCTTACCCAAACTTTTTTTTTAACCTCTCTTTATTTCTAATTAATATTTTTTCATCTTAAAATTTTATGTCTGGCAATACTGTAACTGCACTGGCTTTCTTATAAGTATTGTTTGTTTAATGTATCTCTACTCACTTATTTTCAAAATGTGGGTGTCTTCCTGTTAGATATTTCTTCTACCCTGAGCAGACAGCTAGGTTAATGGTGTTTAGTGCGTACCAACCAGGTTTCCTTTAACCAGCAAGCCGAGGTGGCTTATACTTGCTGCCAGCCGGGTTACATTTGGATGGATTTCTTCATCTTCTTTGGTGTTCTCTATTTGGCACTTTTCGATTGTCTTGCCTTCATCTGCATAACTCAGCTTCCTCCTTTTGCTTGTTTACCAGCTTAGAAGTCATCTGTTCTGTCTTTTTTAGTGGTTACCATTAGAATGTGAACAAGGAGAGCAGACTTAATCCCTCACACTTGTTGCAAATAATATAGAGCCCTTGTAACAATATTCCATGCTGTCTTAACAATGCTTTAGGTGCACTTTATTTTTAATGCCTCCAAATTAGTCATTATAATTACCCCTAACTGCCTATGCCTGTCTAGATTACCTAATTTGGTTATATTGTGTTTCCTATTGTTATACCCCAAATTATTCCTGTGTTCAATTTCCTTCTTACTGAAGAATAGCCTTCATAAATTTTTTCACAGCAGTCAATGAATGATAAACTCTCGTTTGGTTTTTTAATCTAACAAATGACCTTATTCTAGCCTCATTCCCAGTAGTTTTGTGCATGTATAAAATTCTAAGTTAATAGCTGTTTCTATTTCAACACCCTGAAGATATAATTACATACTGCCTTCCACTGCTGCTGTTAAGAAATCTGTCAACATGTTCTTTGGAAGCGAGTCTTTTCTCTATTATTTGAGAAATCTTCTCATCTTTGGAGCTCAAAGTTTTGTTATATCTGAAGCAAATTCAAAGAATACATTTAATATTTAAATCTTTTTTAATGTATTACAGTAAAAGATATGAACACACACCTTTGTTCTCATGACTTTCTGATGCAGGTCTGAGAGGCATCTTTGTGTGTGGCTAGTTGAGTTGGAATGGCCGACTTGATGTCCTGAATCAGTAAACAAATTTACCTTTCGTGGTCATTTTGCTTTTGGGAAGCAGTGGAAGTTGCAGAGTGCCACATACACTGAACAAGGCGCTGGTCTTTCCATTAGCTCTCGGCAGCAGAGTCCCCCACACATTTTATTATAACTCATAAAGACAAGAAGGTGGAAAGAATGATGGGATAAGTACGTGCATGGCAGGGAGTAGTACTTCAAGGAGAATTAATGGAAATATATTTTTTTAATTTTCACATTCATTGTGTAGTCTAGCGTATCTCTTTTTTTGTATGAATTTTCTTTTATTTAGGGTACTTCAGACTCATTGCAGTCTGAGGCGTCACATCTCCACTGGTTCTGTGTAGTTTTCACCTCTTCTAACATCTCTGCTCCTTTGCTATTTCTCTGATTCTCGTTAGTACTGAGTTGCTTCTCTTACCCTCTCTTGCATCCTCTTCGTTTCTCCACCTATATTATATTCTGCATAATTTCTCCTTTCCCATTCTCCAGTTAACTTAGCTTCAGCTTCAATTAACATTCTGTAACCATTTATTTTCCCATATCAATGAGTACGTTTTCCTGTTTGTAAGCTCTATTCATTTCCTTTGAGAATCTCCCTGGTATTGTTTTATAAAAACTTTTGTTTTCTCATTCTTATTCCTTTTTTATGTCATTAATCATTTTAAGTATACTTATCAATGAATTCTATCACATGATGTTTATTATGAAGATACTCTTGTTTTTTTGACTAGCTTTTGATGCACTGTCATTGGAACTATACACTTAAATCTATTTTTATTAGTACTGTATGTGTTTGCAATACATAATGAACCCACTGATCTTGGGGAATTGGGGGATCACGTCTTAATCCTGTCTGCACTCTGCTTCTCTCCTCCCGCTGCTCAGCCCTTCTCCTACCTTCTCATCGCCACAAAGTCGACTCCCATTTCCTATCGTCTATCCTTTACTTTGTGTGTTTATTTATATTTTTGGTTTCTCATGTAAGAGAAACTATGAGATATTTAGCTTTCTATATCTGACTTAGAGTCTCAAGGTACATATATTTCCCTAAAAATGACTCACATGTCTGCATTCTTTCTGTATGAGAAGACAATGCTCCACTGTGTATACATCTATCCATTTATTTGTACTTTTCCAAATGTAAAGATGTCATATTATAATGACCTGGGCATGCCTTTATTTACAGAAGCACAACTCAAAATAGTTAAATCTTAATCCCACTGTCTAAGTGGAATCCTCTGCAGTGTGATCTATGACACACTGCTGCAGAATATTTGCTTTTGTGAGACACTTTAAGGGGAGCAGAAGAATACGTACTGGGATTTTTTTTTTCCCATTTCTTAGCTTAAAGATTATGGAAAGTACAGATAGTATTAATGAGCATCCAAACATAATAAACATCATATAGCCAGGTTTATCAAGATGAATTCTTAAAAGGACATGTTTTTCTGTGTACAGATGAAATTTGGAGACAGAGAAACTTTTTCTTCTATCAGTTGACAAGCAGATACTTTTCCTCCTAATTCATGTTTTTACTAGAGGTTAATGTTTTGAGAATTCTGACCCTAATCTGAGGATTCTGACCCTATTCTGAGAATTCCAGTTCAACTCTGCATTTTGCACTAGACCAACGTCTTTTCTCCAGTCTCTGTGAAATTACTAAATGGAAGCCCTCTGAGTAGTCTCGTAAATACTATATAATATTCAAATTCATTATTTTTGGTTATTAGGGGTTTTCCTTGCTTTTTGTGAGTGCAGCTTTGCATTCCAAATGGAATTTATAATATTTTATCCAGCATTTCAGGACTTTTTTTATATGGAAAGCTTCTTTTTTCTTATTTGTTTTGATTTTCATGTTTCTAAAACCTGTAAATTAGACTGATTCATTTAGTGTCTGCTTCTCCATCAAAACAGGAGGATCCACAAGAGTAACCACTGTGAATTCTGATCACAGTTAATTACTGAAACAGCTTTCCATATAAGAAAAAAGATATAGTAAACACACTGTAAGTATTAGCTATTATTAGACTTTATCAACCTGGAAAAAACCCTCTGTCCTTAAACTTAACAAAGCTATATGTTAGATGCTCAGGTTCATTGTCTGGTTCCTGTACCCTCTTGTCTGGCTACAACACCAAAGCTTAATTTTTGCAGTCATACGTTAAAATTTTATACACCATTTCAATTAGCCACAGATACTACATTCCTAATAGTATAACGTCTAGGGTAACGTCTAGGGTAGAGTGATATTATCTAAAACAGACAAACTCACCTGTTTTCCATGTTAATTAACATATGTGCCAATTTTTCTGCTTGCTGTTGGTTCTTCTCTTGACTGCACATTGCATTAGGCCCATTGGGTTCAACGCTCTCAAATTCCTCTTGGCCTCCTCCTATCATCTCAACTGTCAGTTCTGACATAGTAATTCTAAATGTTAATTTAATAGTTACTAGCAAATATTTAATAAGAAACTTCATGTGCTAATGATAGCTAATTCTTAAAAGTAAATGTTTAATCAAAAAGAGTATATAGGTGCTGGGGATTTAGTTCAGCAGCATAAGCACCTGCCTTGCAAGCATGCGGTCGTGAGTTCGATCCTCGGTACTGATAAAAAAAGAAAGAGAAGAAGAGAAGTATATAGTTAAAAATTATCAATTTTTAAAATGCTTTTATGATTTATAGGCAAGAGGGTAACGGTGTGGTAGCAGATGTTGTCATGAAGTTTCGATTCAGTAGACGTAACAATGGAGAATCCATGAAAGCCAGAATTCAGTCTATTTTACAGCAAATGCTGAATAACTCTGGAAACCTGGAAATAAGCCCTTCAGCCGGGGTAACAGGCAAGTACCATTTTTGCACATCATTTTATTTCAATATGCCCCTCAAGTTTACTAATTAGTGAGAGACTGGCTCCATTTTTTTGGAATTAAACTTTTTAAAGTTATACTAAAGAGGTAAAAGATATATATTGCTTTTAATGTAAAAATACTCTTTTTTGGCTTTTCAACAGTTATATATATTTTAAAATATAATGCTTTCTTTTTAAACAGAATAATTTCAGCATGGAAGGAGGTCTGATACCTAGTATCCACATATAAACAGTACCCTTCAACTTGTTCCAATACGTCTCTAACACTTCTAATAAAGTGAAAATACACACTCAGTGTACATGCAAATACACTTTCTTGATGAAATTACTTAAGTTTGTTCTTTAAGGACTGCTGCAATGTCAATGAATTTTACAGGTTAGAATCTAAGAATATTTTGGTTTCAATTTTCTTCTTTGTGAAATGGGAATAATAATTTTTGTCCTAATGTCTCAAGGCTGCGTGGGGAAAATGTGAAAACACTGTAATTATATTTTTATGTTTAATGGATACATAGTAATTGTACATATTTACAGGGTAGAGTGATATTTAAATACATGTATAAAATGTATAATGATTAGATCAGGCAACTGGCATTCTATCATCTCAGATATATAATTTATATAATTTTTCTTTGTGTTGGGGATGTATGAAATCCTCCCTACTTGTTATTTTGAAATACTCAGCTTATTGTTGTCAACCATAGTCTACTGTGCCTCACAACATTAGAAGCTATTCCTCCTCTTCATTGCACTCCAAAGCCCACTGTTCATCCTCTCTCTGAGATCCCACATCTTTCACAGACTCCAATCACAACTATGTTTTCTGCTTCTTTTGAGGTCCTGCCCATAAGTAGAACACACAGTACTTCTCTCCTCTGTGCCCAACTTACGTTCGCTTAAGGCAGCATCCTGTAATTCCATCCATATTGCTGTGGAGGACAGGATTCCAGTCTTTTTATGGCTGAATGAGGTTCCACTGTGCTTCTGCTCCACTGTTGCTTCACATGCCTCCATCGCTGGTCACCCAAGCTAACTACGTGACGCAGTGTTGTGAGCAGTGCTGCAAGAAATGTGAGAAGCACACCCAGGGAGAGAAACAGCTGGGTCTGTGTGGTAGTTCTGTTTCTCATTTTCAGAGTCCCCTCTGTACTGCTTTCCACATGGCTACACGATCTCACATTCCCACCACTGGTTTGTGAAAGCTCCCCTTTCTCCATCTCCTCACCAGCACTCATCACATTTTGTCTTTTCAGTAATAGCCATCCTAACTGGGATGGCACACACCATTCCAGGATGCAGTGGCTGATTTAGCATTCATATAGTAAACTTTATTTGCTCCAACTTCATTAATGTTTATTCCTCCAACACTCATTAAGGGGAATATACTGTCGGATGTACAATTTGTGGACCTGCTAGAGGAAAAGTAAATAGATGCTCAAAGTCCAAAAATAATTTAAAGAATGATTCATATTGCATAGATTCCTTCATTTGTTGGAGAGCATTTATCAAAACCAAAAGTAACAAATGACGTGTGTATTTTGTGTACTGTTTGACTCTGTCCTACTCTGCAAGTTCCCTAAAGGCAGGAGCCCCTTTGCCTTGCTCACCCACCATCCTGCCATACGTGATCTAGTACATAAACATTGAAACATTCTACTTTGTTCACAAACCACTGCGTTAGGCCCATAAAGTCATCCCCCACAACCCCATTTCCCACTCTAGACTCACATCTCTTCTTGCAAACAAGGAGTAAATGCTTGGCAAGACTTCCAAGACATTGCTCCAAAGTCCATGGCCTAGCTGTGTCCTCACGCACTGCTGCCCAAGCCCACTCTGCTCCCGTTCACTAGGGAATTCCTCCAAAACCACTTGTGAGGTGCTTGTATTTTATTTAGCACTGCCTTAGTGTAGTTTCCACCTTCCAGGACCTCATAATCTAGATGAGGTAAAACAACTCAACCCAAGATCAAGATCAAGATCACAGAACTGAAATGCCAGGAACATATGATCAAGCACCTAGTATAAAAGACTGCTAAGGAAATCCAGGAAAGAAAAAGACCGGAATGTTTGGTATCTCTCAGCAAAAGGCAGATGGATGGACTCTGAAGTATGAGCAGGATCCTATATTTTGAGATGAGAGAAAGAAAATTCCATATAGGGAGGATGTGGAAAGAAGAAAATAATCTGTAATTAACATGCTTTGGCAGAACAAGTAAGGGAGGTGTGCTGAACAATTCATTGCTACTATTGCCATCATCATCTTTGGCACTGTTATCAAAGCACTTATTTAAAGAGCTCTATTTTTTAGGCATAGTTTGAAGTGTCCTGTGTGTATCTTTGCATTTATTTGGCTCTCACCATCTCCATATCCCATAGACAGTTTTATTCTCCCCATTTAGGAAAGAGAGATAATTGCCCAAGAGTAGCATCTGCTGCAGCTCTAGCCGGGGGACAGAGTGAGGGGGGAGATGGCGAGAGGATGGAAAAAAATAAAGAAATGAGAGCTGAGGTCAAGTGGAGCGCTCTCTCTGTAGCTCATTTATCTTTACATTTAGCAAGATAATGTCACATGATACCCCTTCACCTAGCAACCCATTGCTTGGCTTGTTCTCTGGGCTGGAGTAGCCTGTTCATGTGGCTCACCCCAGGCATCCTTTGTTCTCAGAAAGGCCTTGCTCCAGTCCCGTGCACTTGTGATGATCTCCTACTTCCCTTCCCAACACTCAATTCAGACAGGATATGGGCATTCAGAACTCAAACTCAAGCCTCTCTGGCTCAAAGAGTGAAGAAGCCTGCTCCCTGGCTCCACTGATGCTTTCAAAGCAAATGTAACCCAAATACCGTGAAATTTCTAGCTGGAAATAACTTTGCATAAACTAGTTTTATACCACATGAAAATCTATCTTGAGAAGTCTTAATTTATCCTATGGAAACAAGAACACTGATTTCTCATTAAAGTATTTCAAGCATGAAAAGACAGATCTGGCCTACATTTTCAGAAAAGACAGTCTGGTAAGATCAAAGAAGAGCAATTGAAAAAGCACAAAAATATTTTTCAAAAAGTACATTTGTCACTGTAATAGTGCTAGTGTCCAATGACTAAGCATGAACTGAAGCAGTGACAAAAGGGGTGGGCAGGATGACAGGGTTAGAAGTTACAGAACCAGAGACCAAGATGGGAGAATGATGAGAAAGGGGAAACCTGGCAGTTTCTAGCTCCCTGAGCATGAAATGACATTGAGGAGTTATAATAACATAAGTAATAAATTGCGTGTGAAATTTGATTACGTTGAGTTTGAGATGATTAACAGGCATGCAGAGAACACTGTCTAGCAAGTAGACCTTGAACTGGAAGCATCAGAGCTTCACTGTCTGATATGCAATGGCTTTCTCTGCAGGCCTGGCCAATACACCCTGCAGCAACGCAGGTACTAGCTCTACTGTACAAGGCTGCACTGTAAGCCCACTATATCTGCCACTTGCAGCGGTTTTTTTTTTCCCCTTTTGTGTGTCTGAAATTTTTCTTTCAGTTTTCAAAATACAGAACAAACATTATTTCCACCAGCTCAAATGTTATTTCCTCCACTGATAATGTCTGTGATTCTCCCTGGTAAAATTGTGCTTTTTCTCCATTTCACTCCGCATTTGGATTTATCTGAATGCTTCCTTGATTAATTCTACATGTAAATAAAGTGAAGACATAGCTCTTGTATTTTGCATACTCTTATACCTTTGGCACCTCAAATAATCAGTGAGCAATATATATATATGTATATTTTAATAAGTGAACAATTAAATTCTCTTATAGTATTTATCACACTGTATCTCAGAGTCTTAGTTACTTTTATTTCATTGCTGAGACAAAATACCCAATATTCAAAGTTAAAGGGGGAAGGTTTATTGAGCCCACAGTTGGTAGAGGTTTTAGTCCATAATCAGGTAGTTCCGAAGCAGAATGGCACATGACAGAGGGCAACAGTTCATGGGCTGGAAGACAGCAAAACCAACAAGAAACCTCCACAGCATCTTTCTGCCTTTTTGTATTGTATCTAGAGTGCTGGGATTAGGGTGGTGCCAAAGAAACCAGTGGGCTGATTTAGCAATTACACACCCTTAATCCCGCTTCACACCCTCTAGATTTAGTCACCTCCTAAAAAGCCTAAAGTTGCATGAGGCTTTGGGGGAACATCTAGACACAACCATAGCACCCAGTGACTTACTTACAGCTCTGTTTCTGAGTGACTTGAGAGCAAAGAGTTATTTTAAGTATTTGATGAGAAGTCTAAGCACAAACTTAGTGTGAATGACAATAGGTTGGGGCAAGGTTGTAAACAAATTCTGAAGCATGTGGCTTAGAATTTCTTTGAGGAGATTTGGAGTGGAATGTAGAAATCTGTACTTCAGCAATCTTTCACAGTGATTTTTACTATTGTTATCAGAGCACTGCACTTTAAGATATCAAGGCGAAATTATTTTACCTAAATGTTGTTAATCTTATTCTCATATTCTCTCTCTCTCTCTCACTCTCTCTTTCTGTGTATTTGTGTCTCTGTCTAGAAATTAACGACCAGGAAACAGAAAATATGTTTACTCAAGGTAAGTGTTGAATTTATTTTGCAAATATGCTTTGCCAAAATATAAGGAGGCAAGAGAAAGAGAGCAAGTGATTTGTGCGCTTTGCCGGAGAGTGTCTCTGAAGTTGATGTCTTTACAGTCACTGTGCTGGGTCATTAGTGGAACAAGACTGCTGATCTGACTGACCCATGGAGTAATGTCTGAGCTATTTGAGCTTCTTTCAGGAAAACAAAGAAACAAACAAAAAACTGAAGTAACAATATAGTATCACCCACCAGGTACTTAAGATTGGACATTTTCTTGGTACTTGGGGAATCTTTTACTTCCCTGGTCCTATGATGGCATTTATATGGAGTTATAAGACAGATTTCATGGCACCATTTATATAATTTTTCCTGACTACTAGAACAGCATGCTTTTTTTGTGAATTCAGACTAATCAAGAGGCATAATAAAAAAACAAATTTTTAAAGTTTTACCTTAAAGGAAATTCACTGTGTTCTAACACCATCCTATGTACTCTCTGACCAGGCCAGCAGAAATGTAATTCTAGAAACACACAACTTACTCTCTGACCGAAAGATTAGAGTTAGGAAGTAGTTTAGTATCCCTGTATTTCTGGCCTATCTCAGAAACTTAAGCATCTTTATAAAATTATGCTACCCCATGCATCTTTTTCAATTTTATTAATATTTAACTAAGGATTATTTTGAATAAAAGTATGCTTAAATAATTCACTAGGGAATTTATTTGAAAGAAACAGTATAGGTACCAAGGTTCCATGTACTCTTAATGAAATCCTGGTCCTCTGTTGGGCAAATTGCAAGGTAAAAAAACGCCTTCAAGTGGTTATCCTACTGAAACAGGGCACTCCTGAAAATCCAGCCCAGTAACACAAATGTTGGGGGTCTACATTAATTTCTTTTTTTAAAATTTTATTTAGAATGTAGTAAAAATACAACAGAACAAGATAAAACAAAGCCAATTGAGACAATGTAGTGACATTGGTACAGAACTTCAAAGCAGGATACTGGGATAGTAGTAATAGGTACTATAGCGTATCTCATAATCTTCACAATAGTTGTCCAGTCAATTAGGTATAGAGAAATCAAACCAGTGAAAGATCATTGTAAAACCTATTGAAGGAGAATATTGAATAGAGCATAATAATCATTACAAAACACAACAGTGAAAATAACCTTTGATTTGAAACAGAACATAGAGGGAAATACCCCTTATTTGCTATATTGCATATGGTCATCCTCCCAAGAAATACTCAGAACTCTGTCCCCAGTTGCTGACAGGGGGGAGGGGGCAGTAGGCTAACGGAAAGAGCTGAATGGTCTCCTCCTGGCTAGCACCAGGGGCTCTTACCAAGAGGGCGGCCAAATAGTCTTCTTGTGCAGCTGCCTAAGTACCAACATCTACATTAATTTCTTAGCAGTAGACTAGAGAATAAAAATTTGTAAGAGGAACTGAGTGATTAGCTTACCCCATCCCTGCTTAACTTCAGTTACTGAAGTATTCATGGGCTTCTTAAAACATAAATAAACCTAGACTCTTGGTAGTAAAACCCCTCAGGCACTCTAGAAAATATACTGCTGCCTGACAGCAATTCTTTCTGGAGCATGTGTTTGATCAGGCAGGTCAGGAGAGGGACAGGAGTCTCCTCAATAAACTGCAAGACCCCCCAAGGCTTCCTGGCTTTCACCCAGCAGCAGCGGGTGCATCAGTCTCTCATCAAAATGCAGCTTTTGCTTTGTCTGTGCCTTTCACAAGCGGCCAGGGAATGCCCATGCTCCAGAGCTACAGACCACATTTGGAGGACAAATCTAGAAACAGGAAAGAAATTTGCCAGGAATCTGTAGCCTGAGAAGGAATCTCTAGCCCTGGAGTATTTCACCCTCACTCCTGAGCCATTCCAAACCTTCCTGAAATTGTTCAGAAGTTAAAGCCCACATGCTGATTAAGTTCATAAGTTTGTTCTAGAAATCAGTCAATCGGCAACAGTACTTACACGTTTATCACACAAAGGAAAGTCAGAACTACAGGAGAAAGCCAGCAGCAATCACCAAAATGTCAGCTGTGGTCTCCTGTCACGTTACTTCCTCTTCTCCTCAGCATGCGGGGCCCGTCCAGACCTGATGACGCTGTCTGCAGAGAGAGTCGTTGGAGGTACTCAAGCTGACCAGGGCGACTGGCCGTGGCAAGTCAGTCTGCAGGTCAACGGTGGCCATCGCTGCGGAGGCGTCCTGGTCAGCAACCAGTGGGTCCTGACTGCAGCCCACTGCTTCAGAAGGTGAGGCAGCAGCTGCCCACAGCTGGAAATGATCAGGACAGATGCCACCACTGCTCTGGCACCAAATGTGATTGGGCCGAGCCTAGAAGTAATTCAGTGCAAAAACTCAGTGAAACTTTTTTTTCTATACATGAAAGCAAGAGTGCTTGTCTCCTTTAGCAGGCGAATTTCCTGGTTGTTCTTGGTTCAAGCTAATAGCACACTATCAAGGGAAATAAGTTTATACATCAGAATGTTTAATTTAAATCTTAGCTATGACAATGTAGAAATTTTGTTGAACCTCTTCCTATGCCTCTTTTTTTTCAAATTAGAAATAATATTGTAATTTATGTCTGAGTGTTTTGGTAAGATAGGTAAATGTAAATACACGTTCATTTTTTTCCTGTGGAAGATTTACATATCACATCCTGGAAGCTGATTGGCCGGTGGATGGCTGACTCAGAGAGTTCCTAATATCATAAACTTTTTAATTCAAAATTATTGAATAATTTGTGATGAGCGCAGATTTATGTATTGTAGATGCTAATATAAAAAAACACTACTGCTGCCTTCAGGGAGCTTACACTCTAGTGCTGGACTTAGAATACACAAAACAAATGATCACTGATAATGAGTAGCTTCTGTGAGATGTTTAGATAATGTACAACAAATCTTAGTAGAGATAACTAAAAGTATTATTTATACTAGATTAATAGCTACCAGTGAAAAGTGGGTTGCATAAGCTTAGCCTGTCGATGTAAACAAAAGGGTACACTGACAAGGTTTTAGGCTTCAGCATGATAAAAATCTGCTAATTTCTGATCTACCTAATTACTGAGCATCCTAGACTGCAATGATTGTTGGAAACCAAACTAAGAAAGATCACCCAGAAAAGTGGTGGTGAGGCCAGGTGTACCCTACACCATATCTCTTTTCTTCTCAGATTTTTTCAGTAACGTCTGCTGCCTACACATCTACCCTAGTAACTTCATACCCAGAGTCCTCGATAGTCTAAATACTCCAAATTTAGTTCTCAAAGCTTGGACTTTGAGCTGCAAGCCAACAGTATTTCTCTCTCCCCATGGACTCCGTCTACCTTTCCCCACCTCTGAGCACTGCCCCCCTCTATGAGTTCTCCAGAAACATAATCATAATATTCTTTCCAAACTGCCATTGCTCCCTGTTGAATTCAGTGGAAACTGCACAATTTCCTTTTTCTAGTACTTTACAATTTCTTTCTTTCTTTCTTTCTGTACTGGGGATTGAACTCACCACTCTCACTTGCCAGCCTGGTGCTTATGCCACTGAGCTAAATCCCCTGCTATAATTTCTTTCTTTCAGTAGAACATTAAACAAGGTCTCACTAAATTGCTGAGCCTGGTCCTGAACTTGTAATCCTCCTGCCTCAGCCTCCTTAGCAGCTTCCATTATAGGTACATGCCACCTTGCTCAGAAATGTTCATAGTTTCTAAGAAATGCTAGATTTGAGATTTTAGATTGCTATATTTTTTGTTGAGTGTTTTTGTTTCTCTTTTTTCTTGGTGCCAGGAATTGAACTCAGGATTTTGTGCTTGTCAGGCAGGTGCTTATGTCACTGAGCTATACCCCTCCAGTCCCTGAAGCCTGAAAAGGAGCACAGCTCCTCATTTCAATCTCAGGAAGGAGGACATAAGCACAGAAAGCCTGCTCGCCTCGGTGAGACGCAGCCCAGGTCTTCTGAACTCCGAGATAACACTGTCCAAAGATGTAGTGAGCAGGGCACCGTTTCCTCACCTGCTCTTCCTTTTATCTTTTGTATTCATCCTCTCATTTGTTACTACCGTGGACTACCTAGAGGTCTCCTAGCTGCCCACTGTTAGGTAAGCGAGGACTGTTTCTCATTTTATCCCTTTGTTTTCACTTCTCCCATTTGCCTACAATTTGAGTTAAACTTTAAAGAGAAAAAATAATTTAAGCAACTTCTTAAAATGTCTCTTAAAAACATCTGACTGCAAGAAGGAAGGAAGGAAGGAAGGAAGGAAGGAAGGAAGAAAGAAAGAAAGAAAGAAAGAAAGAAAGAAAGAAAGAAAGAAAGAAAGAAAGAAAGAAAAAGTGAGTAAAGTATGCTAAATTGGGACAGATTTACCAGAAAATAGGAACTCTTACCAGTATCTTTTAAAAGGCTTGAGGATACCATGGCCAATTATAATGTCTTCAGCTGCTTTGCTTAATTTCAAAAATTTTTCCTGTTTTGAGATTTCCAAGGAAACCTCTTCATATAAGTTTTCAGAAAGAACCTTATCTCAAATGTTTATTATTTAGATATTTGTTTTATTAATGCACTGCAATACCCAAAAATCCAGGGTCACTCAGAACAACCAATGAGGTTTTGCTTGACATATGACCAGCCTTATGCCATGATGCATAGATGTTAGGAGGATTATTGAATTGTCACTCCCTCTAGGAAGCTTTCTCTGATAATCTCTGATATCACTGTTCTGTTCTCAGGCAGGCACTGCATGGCTGAGCTAACTCCCAGCCCCTCCCTGTTCTATTCTCAAGGAAATTTTCTTCTTTTACAGTAACCTTTGTGATTTTAGTCTTTGCTGGCCTCTTGCACTGATGTGTGGAGCTCCTCAAAGGCAGAGCAGCCCAGCATGGTGCCACATGCCTGTAATCTCAGCACTTGGGAGGCTGAGGCAGGAGGACTCTTGCAAGTCTGAGATCAGCCTAGACTACAAAGTGAGCTCAAGGTCATCCTAGACTGCATAGTGAGACATGTCTCAAAAAGACAAAAAAAGAAAAAAAGAAGGCAGAGACACAGTTATTTAGATTTTTATTACCAGAGACTAATACCATTCCTTACGCCAAACAGACACTTAGCAATGACTTGTTGAGCCATGATTAGTGCAGCTCACAGCTACACTCACAGAGTGCCTACTTTGGGTCAAACTACCCATATTTGACACAATTCACTTACTTCTTAATACTTCAGCTCTGTGAGGGGCTACCAAGAATCCATTTTACATATAAACCGGGAAACAGTGACACTACCTCCCATAAGAGATAACGCTAATAAGTGCCACAGTCAAGACCGAAACACAGACATAACACTTTCCAAGCCCGGGCTCACTCACTTGCTGGGAGGAGATGCAGAGAGAGGAAAGAATAAGAGAGGGAAGCAGGAGAGGAATCTGTTTAAAATTGCCCCAGTAAAAACACTGAGCAGAAGAAGTTGAATGTAGGAACAATCATGGATTTGCCTGTTTTTAAAAACCTTTTTTCTTCAGAATTCTTACCTTGTCGATGTCCGCTCCCGGCCGGCAGGAAGGACACACGACAAAGTCTGGCAGTGGACAACCTTTTCTTTTATTTTTCTTCTCCGTACAGCCTGCCCTGGGATCGCTCCCAGCCGAAGCCTCCTCTGGTCCGCTCCCCACGGCTCCTTCTGGGCTTCTACTTCCGGGCTTCTTCTTCCCCCCCAGGGGTGGCACCAGTATATATACGGATACAGTGTCCAATCATGTTAAAGTAAGCAAGGCAAGCTGATTGGCTAACATCATCAGTTGCCAGGCAGACTATATTGTTGAGCGGGTTGCTTACGCGGTAAGCAGGAAACTAACGTGCTCGATGGGAGGGGTAATCTACCTCAGGCTTTGCTCTTTACTACAGGCCTCACGTCCGCCAAGTGAGGCGACCGGGCTCGGGGCTGCGGCTCCCAACATTACCTAATATTTGCCCTTACATTTGTTACTATATGTTATACACACATTTCTTAACCGTTTAATCACTATTTTTTGTATTAATCCCAGTATCTACATATACTCGACAGGAATCTTAAATTATTATTGGTTGATATTTTGCTTTTATTAATCATAGAAGAGACATTAAGTGAATCAGGCTTCCAAGTCATTGATGTTTTCTATCAGTATGCACAGGACCTTTCTCCTGTCATTCTTGGTCCTCCTCATCCCCAAAGCTTCATGCAAATATGCTTTTAAATATGCGTGTACCTTAAGGCTGGCATATAATTTAGTGCTACAGCACTTTCTTCTGAAGCATGAGGCCCTGGGTTATTCTACAGTAAAGCAAAAAGAAGAAAAGAATGCATGCACCTGCAAACCCTAAAGAGCTGTTTCTGCGTTTTTGTCTGCCTTTAACTTATAAAGGTAGAGCTGCTCATAGTCTCGTATTGTTTCTGTTTTCATACAGTCCTGGGAATTTACACCCCTCCCATTGCCACATAGAAATCCTTAGTAAGAACCACTGTTCTTCATCCAGCTGGTTGCTGTTCATTCCCATTTCCACAAGGAGCTCATAGTTCTATGTTAGTATTTTGGCACTATGACAAATTACCTGAGAAAAATCAACTTACAGAAGAAAAGGCTTATTTTAGCTCAGGGTCCAGATGCTTCCATCTGGTCTCTTGGCTCTGCTGACTGTAGGATGTGGTGATGCAGAGCAAGCAGTATGGCGGGGAGCAGGGGGTTCACTTGCTGACAGCTGGGAAGGGGAGAGAGGCAGACAGAGACAGGAAAGAGACAGAGACAAAGAGAAATAGAGATAGAAGCAGGCAGAGGGAGAGAGGCAGAGAGAGACAGAGAGACTGACAGAAAGAGAGAGACAGAGAAAGAGAAACAGAGAGACAGTGACACAGGGAGACAGAGAGGAGACAGGGGAGGGGAGCAGAGGAAAAAGAAACAAGACTAGTCCATGGCGTGCCTGCAAGACCCATTCCCTTCATCTGAATTCTACCTTCTCCCAACATCCCATCATATTATAAGCCATCAATGGATCAATCTGCTGAAGAAATCAGAGCCTTCATGTTCAAATCGTTTCCCTAAATCCTCAACTCTGCACACCGTAGAACTGGAAATGCGTGAGCCTTTGGGGGTGCTTCAGATCCAAACAGCAAAGCCCTGCTGTTAACCTTCAGGGGCTCTGTGATGCACCACCTGTGCGCACGTACAGTCTGATAAAGGTACCAGAGTGCTTTCCACATGCTTACATCCTCACCAGCAATGCCAGAAGTGTTCTAATGTCCCTCCTCACCCACTCATGATATTACATTTCTTATTTTATTTCCATAATTCTTATTATAGGAAGTATATGTTCACTGTTATAACTTCTATTTCTTGATCACTAACAACTTTGAGTATCTTTTCTTGTGTCTAGAATTTGAGAGGGTTTCCCTTTTTATGAATTACCAATTAATATTCTTTATAATGGTTTCTTGCCCATTTATTATAGAGTTACACATTCTTTGGGTATATTCTACAAAATTCCAGATATTACACATTCTGAGTACTGTCTCATGACTTCTTATCCACCTGCTAAACTTGTCCACAGAGTGTTCAAGTGCGACAATGAAATCCATCCATTTTTTACCTTATGGTATATATTTTGAAAGTTTAGCTAAAAAGCTCTAATTCCTAGGTCACAATGTTAAGTTTTGAATTTTGTATATTTATTTATTTATTGCACTGATGCTTCCTCTATCTCTCTCTATATATATTCACACACATGTATGTACAACCTATGTACATATATATGCACACATAAACAACATAACACTTAGCACAGAAAAATCATTCCTGAATTCATAAGACAGTGACGCCCTTTATCATCATTATTTAAATGAAGATACTTTCTCAAAGCAAAATAAAAGAGGGAAAATTGAGATTGAAAGGAATGAGTTAAAATTAAAATAACCACTATATCAGACTTTATAAGTTTCTTGAATAGGAGAATATAAAATAGGAAGATACCAAAGAGAATATTTGTGTTGTGCTAGCTATCAAAGTGTTAGAACATCCATGTTAGAATAGAAAACACCAAGAAATTATTTTGAGACATATTTACCAAAATCTTGCTGTGTCTCTTTAGACAAATGAGCATTCATTCTTCTGTTAAGGAGCGCCATGTGTTTACTAGCTTATTGTGCAGGAATATATAGGGGAGAAATGACAATCAAGTAGTTTGCAAGTTGGGAGCAGGGGTTCTGGCAAATGCAAAATCCAAATATTTAGAGTGCTCACAAGTTCCGTCTGCAAACAGCTTGTTTCTGTATCTTTTTAGCTACCCTAATGCTCAACAATGGACTGCCACCTTTGGTATTTCCACAACCTCTCCTACTCTGAGAGTGAGAGTGAGGACTATTTCAATCCACAACAATTACAATCCTGTGACTCATGAGAATGATATTGCAGCTGTGCAGCTGGAAAGGGCTGTCACCTTCACCAGGGATGTTCACCGAGTATGTCTCCCCGCAGCCACCCAGACTGTCACACCTGGTTCTACAGCTTATGTAACAGGATGGGGCTCGATAATCTATGGTGGTAAGTATCTCCAGAAAGATAAAACAGCCAAGACTGAGCAATAACACAGTCTCCTGCTATGTTCTAGAAACATCTGGAAGCCAGACAGGTTCTAAGACAAAATCATCCTGTACCCTGATCAGTCAAAGCAGTGGCTAGCCCTCAGTCTCATCAGCACCGTAAGGAAAGCAAAGAGTCTGCGGGGCGTTCTCAAGAGTAGCAATAGGGGAATGTCAAGAAATGAGTTCTTTACTAATCCAGAGGTTGGGTAGGAATCAAATGGCTTCACTATAAAGAAAAGCGAGAGGGCAAAAAGCTATGATCTAAGGACAGTAGCTAATATCCAACAACTCTCAGGTATTGATCACCTTTTGGGGTGAAGCCAGTATTTCTGCCAGGTCTGCACATATCATAGTACTTAACAATATATACATAATCATTACTCACACTTGTTTACTGAATAAATAAAACTGAAATTAAAGTGCGGACTTTGTGAAAAGAACAGCTGGAGTCGAGCAACCCACCAATGAGAAAATGGGGGCACCAGCCGGGGAACAGCAGGACAGCTGGACAGCTGGACAGCATCCCTGCACTTTGATCCTCGCCATCGATTATTTCTCCAACCAATAGTGCAGAGCCTTCGTCGCCCCACACGAATGTGTCTTTGTTTTACTTTGGCCTAAAGTAAGGGGTATCACAGATAAAATTTATATGAGGCATGGAAAACATAAACAGTGCTATTTTGAAGGAAAATCAATATAAAATAGATTAGCTCTTTAACCTTGAAACTAGACCAATTTCTCTTTCACTGCCAGATTAAAGATTGATCTCTGTGTTATTTTCTAATCCAGAGTCAATCAGTGGATAATTTAAGAGCTATTAGTCAATTGTAAGACAGCAAATTTGTTATCTTTAAAAATCACAGTGGCAGAAAATTAATATAGAAAAGATAAAAGAAAAACTCATCTGTCTAAAGGGTTATCCTCTCCTGTGGGAATTTTGGCTGGAAAGAAACGCCTACAGACATCTTCAAACACTTCCCTTGATAAATAGAGATAATGTTTGTAGTGCTTTTATTCTTTTTCAAATTTATTATAGAGTTATTAGGTTATATATCCCAAAATCCATTTTATTTCTGCTTTTATACTAAATAGGCAACACGGTCAGATATCTACGGCAAGGACAAGTCCAGATAATAAGTACTAGTGAGTGTAACGCACCAGCCAGTTACAACGGTGCTGTCCTGCCTGGGATGCTGTGTGCTGGCGTGCCGACAGGTGCAGTGGACGCGTGCCAGGTAAGCCAAGCAGCCACCTCCTCGCGCTCATCCGGAAAGCTCTGGTCACCTGGGGCACACCGCACAGTCACAAACATAAAGGGAACAGTGGAGACATGCAGTCCTGATCTCTGGAAACTCACCGTCAGAGTTTCAAAAATAAAATTCTTACAAACTTTTTCATGAAAAATTAACTTTTAACTGTTATGGAAGGGCTAAATAAAACATCTTTTTACAGTGTGGCAAATGTATAGCATTATCATAATAGCGTTATGTACTTCAACATTACAATGAATTTCAAATATTTGCATTAGGAAAAAATGTGAGGTATTTGAAGTAATGAAGATATTAGTTATCTTGATTTAATTATTCCACATTATTTTTATAAACATAGCATTATTTTCTATCTCATAAATGTATATAATTAGGTCAACTCACAGTGAAAAATAGTTTTTCAAAGTCCACAGCAATGATGAAATTTTGAAATATAAGTAAGTCTTGTGCCCCTTGAAGATAGGAAATTGCAAAATATGCAAAATCCTATTTGAGTCATACAAACTCCCAAAACTGTGTAACAGCACAAAATAGAAAAGAAATAATTTAAACCTAAGCTGTAATTTTAACCAGATTTGCAAAATAAATAATAAATATTTGCAGGATTGTAATAAAATTCTAATATTAAAGTTTTAAATAAAATTATTGACTTTAATATTCTTGTGTTGGAAATCCAACTCCACATAGTCACAATAACAGCTACTTACTATCAAAAATTAGGCAGACTGTAAAATAGTTTTATTTTGGAATCTCCTACTGTTTTCCTGTATACGAAAGATAAGGCTGGTTCTTCACATCAAATGTTACTGATTCATATTTAAGAGCGGATAAGCGGTACTTACAGTTCATGCCAGATTCCAATCCATGAGCACTTCCCCCAAAATGAAACATTTTATCAACCATAAACTGTACATAGATGGAAATCTATCTTTTAGTTTCTGTATCTCTAATAGTTATGCCCTCTGCTCTTAACCCTCTAAGTGGAGATGTCCCTGTGGTTGGCAAAGCTCGGTGACTTTTCAGTTACTAGTCACTGCTAGTCCTGAGCATCAACTCATATTTTATGATAGGTTTTCAGAGAATTCACCAATCACATAATAACACATCTCCATGCTGGCAATTTCAGATTTGCTTCAGATCATTGATTAAAACTGACTTAAGGAATATCTGAGATTTAAAAGTGTTACTCAGCCAGATGTGGTGATATGCTGAATTTACATCCATCATGGACGTAAATTCAGCATTCTGCAAGTCTAAGGCAGGAGGATCATAAATTAGAGCCCAGCTTTAGTCATTTAATGAAATTTTATCTCAATTTTAAAAAATCATTAAAAGGCTGGAGATGTAGCTCAGTGGAAGGCCATGTGATCAATCCCCAATACAATGTAAAATAAATATATTAAAAGGTGTTACACAGGCTTTACTTACTGATGATGCCTCTTACTTTCTCTACATAAATTCTGCTTTTCTTTGAGTCCAGTTCAAGCCATTACTCATCATAGAAGCTTCCCTGTGTTCCACCACAGGCTTCCCTGATTTGGTTCATGTCTTAAAAACAAAAAACAACAACAAATGGCCCTTTTGTTCTTTATTTCTTTCACTCATAGGTGCATTCATTCATTGAAGGACTGTGTTAGGTACTTTCTATGCAACACTCACAATACATTGCCTGTACTTGCAGGGTGATGGCCTGCATCAGAGGACATGAGTTCAAGTACCGTATCTTCAGTGAGAATGAAATGGCTAGGCACGAGGAAAGCTGCACGTCCCCTTATTTTACATTTGCTTACCTCCTCTTGATAAGACACCCGGCAGAACACTTTCCTGGCTCAGGAAAAGTGGCAACAGAAGCACAGTGACAACAAATAGTGGGAGGTGGTTAACTTGACCATCACGTGTCATCCAGAGGAAGGGGGTGCCTGCCCTACACAGGCCTCCAGCCTCACTGGTGATCCACACGTTGACCCTCCTCCCCCGTGTGGACCCATGATGAAGCAGGCATAGAGAAGCTCACTACTCAGAGCATCGAAAGAATAGCTGATGTTTCTAAACTCACATTTGGCAGTAAGAGTTGACTGTCATTAGTACTACCTGTATGCCGCATGATCTCAGTGCTTTGTGGGCTAAACTCTTTTAAAAAACACTCATAGAAAGCATTATTCACCAATAAGGAAAGTGAGGAGCAGAGAGCTGTTAAATTGCTTACTGAAGTTCACATAGCTGGAAAGGGGGGATTCACACCCACGATACCTCCATCATGTAGTATGTACGATGTGCTGAATTTTTCTCCCAAACCAAACTATTACATGTTGTAATATTTGTTGATTGTAGATCTTAAGTGGCTGGTAAATATCCTATAAGTGTTTTTGCTTGTTGCCATGTAAACTTTTTTCACCAAAAGAATATTTTTTTAAAGTAATACTAGGTAGCAGACACTGTGCAGGGTACTAGGGAGATAAGTGAGGCTTTTAGAAACTCAGTTTACTGAACAAATACTTCCTTAGCATCTCCGATGTTCTAGACACTTAGGTTGTAGTAGTGTTCAGAACAGATAAGTTCTGTTGCCTAGTGGGCTTTACAGCAGAGAAGGGGAAATAAACATTGAACTAATATCCAAACACAGTGAATACTGCTGAGATGTACAATTGCTGAAACAAAGAAAGCTAACAAGTGGGGTTAAATTCACAGAGGTGCACACACAGGCTTTGCGAATCCATGCAGGGGCGGTAATAGAGATACAGCCACAGAGCAGAGACACGAGGAGCTAACGGAATTCAAAGCCAGGGCCGGGCGGGTGAGGGGAGAGCAGCCGGTGAGAGGTGTCCCACATGGAGCAGGAAGGCTGAGCCGGTGGGAGGCCGTGGGAGGGAGCTGAGGGACTCTGGCCAGCTGCTTCTCACCTTCTTAGACTCACTGACCGGACAGCTTTCATATTGGGGGTTTGCAGTCGTGTTTGAAGGACTCGATGTACTATTTCAAAAGGAAATAGGCTGACTGTAGGGATAGAATGGGTTTGCTTCCTCTGTTGTCAGAGAAATGGACTCAAGATTTAGGGTCTGCCTTTACATATAAATAATCAATCATTTTGTTTTCTTCAGGGAGATTCTGGTGGCCCACTAGTCCAAGAAGACTCACGGCGGCTTTGGTTCCTGGTGGGAATAGTGAGCTGGGGCTATCAGTGTGGTGTGCCCGACAAGCCCGGAGTATATACTCGAGTGACCACATACCGTAACTGGATTAGACAAGTAACTGGGGTCTAGCGCAACCCATGCATTTCTGTTGCAAAGTGATCAAGTGCAATAAATGCATCTCTGTTGCAAAGTCTGAATGCAGGTGTGCCTGGCTACAATTCCAAAGCTTTACTTTTCAGCAGAAAAATAAAGCTGCGCTTGTTTCATTTTTACATACTGTTACAAAATAGAGCAGAATAAAACATTATTCACTCTTCCTTTATTACTGTAGATTTTATGTTTTCTCAGAAGAAACACATGAATATTGTATGGTGGTATGGCCACATGACAGGGGAAACATGGTAAACTAGCTGTAGCGTTTACAGTTTTATGACAATTGTATGTGCTATTAGTAAAAAAAAAAAAAAAAAACTAGCACCATGAAAATGTCTACTGAAGCAATCTAGGGAAGCAATCTAGGGAAGTCTCAAGGATCTGAAGAGGGTCTTCTGAGCATGGCTATGGAATTGATAAGTGAGATAAATATAGAAACTTGAGAGAAAAGAGGCAAAATAACATTCAAGATGTAAAGAATATGATGATACAAGAAAAATAGTATTTATTTAGAATTTCTGTTTATTTGATCTCACAAAATTTAAAAAGTGAAATTACCATACTACCTTAATTATCTTAAAAGAACCTGGCCTCTAGGAACTCTGATGAATTTCAGATATTTGGAAGATAAGATAGTTTATTCTTCACCAAAGGACTTACAAATAGTTTAGATGATGATTTTTGTTAAAAATATCCTTCATCTATGTAGAGAAGAAACTGTATGTCCTCCAGAGAAAAGCTTAGGATATGCATCTAATTGCATCTCAGGTACCCTTGTAACTGCAGTGCATAGTATTTCTTAACCACTGAACAAGAGTGAGTTAGAGATTTGATCGTCAGGAAGAATTCCTCAGAAGCAGCCTCCCATTACTGGTAATTATTTTTGAGAGTACAAGGTTCTTCAATAGCTATCTAAGTAGTGAATTGAAAATTAAATAGGAAAAAAGAAGGAAGAGTTGGTTTGTAAAGAGAAGATTTAAAGAGGTTTATACCAGTAAAGTCATCTTGGAAAGAGGAGTCTCTGTCTCTCTCTGTCTCTCTCTGTCTCTCTCTGTCTCTCTCTGTCTCTGTCTCTGTCTCTGTCTCTCTCTCTCTCTATCTATCTTTTTCTCCCTCTCTCTTGCTCTCTCTTCCTATCATCACCACTACCACAGAGTATATATTAAATAAAATCAATTAAATTAAAATGTAAAGGTGCAACAATCTATATAGTCTGAATCATGAGTCTCAATGAAATTTTATAGCTCCTACGGTAGCTAAAGCTTAGTTATGCATATGATCATCTGTGTGTCAGGATTTCCTCTGTACTCCTGGTTATGGAAACAATTCCAGGCATTGTAATGACAGCGTTTTGCATTTCCTGCTGTAACACTGAAGAAATCCACATTAACCAATCTACTTTGAGAGAAAAGAAGTTACAAATATAAATATAGCCACCTGGGTGAAAAAAATCTTTGGTGCACTTTATTTCCAATAAATTCTTTTACACTCTCTTCCCGTCTGATTATTTATGGAAGTACTCTTGCTGAAGGACAGTCCAAAACAATTTATTTAATTGGTTCTGCAATGAGAGAACTGACAAGCAGAGTCCTAAGGCTCAGCCCTTTCTGCCGCCTTATAATCAAGCTCTGTGGCTGACGCCAGCGTCAAGCTTGACACTCCCAGCTGCACCCAGGAAGACACTGCACTGGCAGTGCCCAGCAAGCCTGCGGGGAGGGCGTCCATGTCTGTGTGGGTGTGTCACAAGCATTGTGGATGCAGTCACAAGCATCGTTCTGTTTATACTTATATATTGGAAACTATTTAAAAGATAGTGTTTATGTAGCAGAAAACAGAGCCATTATTTATTGAAAAAAGTAAAAATTTACTTAGCAAAATGTGTATATTTTATGAAGACACAGAAAGCCAGAGGAACACATAAATAAAAAAACTTCTTTTTTGGTATACTGATGGGATTCCCCTTTTTGCCTCCTAAGTGACTTCACAAAAGTAACTGGATTTAGAGAGACATGGAGGTTTACAAATGGCTTCAGGCATTAAAAATCATTCTGAAAATTCCCAGCACCAATTTAGTTGCAGACAGTTATTAATGCCAAGAAGAATCTTGTTCAGCACATAAAAAGCATACAAATTAGCCAATTTTAAAAAGGACAAACAAAGTGAATATGTGATACTCACACCAGGTTTAAAATAGCATCCAAACTAATGCAAGAGGAATTACCCCAGAAAATTTAGAGCAAACAAGTGCAGTGTTTATTATGCTAACTGATAATCTTATCTATAGCATGGCATTCATGTAGGACATACATTGAGCTTCACTGTGCTGCAAGCTACTAGACACTAATGAAACCAAGATAGGACAGGGCTTTGCTCATGGGGCACTCAGAGTAGATAGCAGTGACAAATACATTATGCAATGTAATATAGTGAGTAAAATGATAATGAGTGCTACATTCATCACAGGATAAATAAAGAGATGGAGGACAATCCTAAAAGACAGATCAAAAATACTCTTACAGTAAAATCAAAAGTGAGACTCTCAGAGCATTAATTTGCTGTGACCATCATAATTACTCTGTGATTAGGGGAAAGGAATCTATGAACCTCTCAGATTTTAAATTTAAATCATTCAAGACCCTCTTTCACTATTCACTTCTTTTTTCTTTATATACTAAATATGAGATGATTCATAGATCCAAAATAGGTTTTTTCTTTATATTTTTATATGTCTGCATAATCAGAAGCCAAACCTTAAAATTCAGTCCTCTCCATTTTTGAACAGTTTGACATATCCCATTTTGGGAAAATACATCATATTCTTGGGACTTTATTTTTATAAGAAGCTATTGACTTTAAAAGCTAGAAGTCTATCATCATGGAAGATTTTTAAGCAAAAGTGGAATGATCACTTGCAGAAATGTGGAAATTTCTGTAGTGAGTTGGGTTTAAAATCAGATTTTTTTCCCCAAGATTCCATCTCAATCTAGATTATACTACTAAATAATAAGCAACTCATTTTAAGATTTTTCAGTACTGGACACAGTGCCCAAGGTCTTGTGGATGCTAGGTGTGTGTTCTACTACTGAGCTACACCTCCAACCAAATACTTTTAAGACACACAAGATCTCAACAAGAAAGAAGAATTTCAGAGTACCAGGGACATTTGATTATTTGTTTAATTTGCTATACATTCATTAAAAAACTTAAAAACAATCAAGCTAATTAGAATTTGAATTAAATAACAGTCCATTTTGGAGTAAAAGGGCAACTGAATAAAATTAGAGAATTAATTTAAAAAGCAAACAATATTACACAGGGCTGCCTCTCTATATTTATCCTAGCTACAATCATGTAATTTAGACAAAAGTTACCAGTATAATAAAAATTGGTTGATACGTTAAGGAGAAAACTTTCATTTCCTACAAGAAGAGCAAAGCAGGAGAAACCATAGATGATTTTTCAACTATGTTGAAAAATAGGAACACAGTTGACATAAATAAGTTTCTATTTTATTTTAAAAGTAAGGGCAAGAGTTGGGAGAGAAATCACATGGTCAACTTTCCATTTTCTGAAGACTACTCTGACTAATTTAAAGAGGAAGAACTACAAGAGGAAAACTAAGTGTAGAAGAGCTCTTGGGACACCAAGCCTGAGACTGTATGAGGAAAGAACCAAGTCACCTTGGATTAAGGAGCTCCCACTGAAAAGGCTGAAAAAGAGCTTAATTCAAAAAACACCTAGAGAAAGAAGTTTTACTGCTCACGTTTAGGAGAGGAAACATCAAGGTTCAGGCCCCAGCAACCGAGATAGGAACGTAAGAACCAGGAGGCTGAGAAGTCAAAGCTGCCTTTGAAATCTGTCACATTTCAAGTACACGAGCACTGAGATCAAGGCTGCAACTGTAAAGATCTATAGTTCCCGGCAGCTGTAAGACTAACAATATGTACTTAGCAGCATTTGCAAGAAAAATGTAAGTGAAATAAGGATCAAAAGCCAAGTTACAATGACTAGAAGAGAAAATAAAACAACATAACATGTTCTCTTAACGACCTCAAGGTAGCAAAAGATAAAGAGAATGAAAAAGGATATTATAACAAAAAATATGAGAAATGTGAGAAAACTATAAATTTGGTCTATTGAAAAGAGGAAGCTTTTGTTATTCAAACAACACTATTTTAGGAACAAAGGATAAAATAACAGAGTAAGAATACAATATTCACAATTGCAGAGGACACAAATTAGATACTCTAGGAATACATGTGAATGGGCAGGAATATTCAAAGGGAGCATTACTGATAATTGCCAAGCAGTGGAAACAAACCAATGTCCATCAATAGTAGAATGGATAAATAGATTTTGTTATATCCACAAAACAAATACAAGTAATAGAAATGAATAAAGTAAATCTGTATCTAACAAAGGGTTGGACCTTAAAAACACAAAGATAAATTAGGCTTGGTGACACACAATTTTAATGCCAGGAGAGGTTTAAAGCAGAAGGATGGAAAGTTCAAGGCCAAGTTAGCGAACTTTGTCTAAAATAAAAAACAATTTTAAAAAAAAGGGCTGGAGAGGTAGCTAGGTGCAAAGGTCCTGTGTTCACGGACACCTCCTCTCTAATAAACAAAAGGTAAAGTAAAAGAAGCCAGCAACAAACTAATTAATTCAATATTATTCTCATCATATAATGTTTATAAATTACCTCATGAAAAACTATTAAAAAGCAAGGAATGCATTATAAAAATACAAGAGAATGATTATTTTTAGGGAAGTGATAATGGGCAGAATTTTAATTAGGAAGAAAATGCAGAGTGGCCAGCAGTTTATAAGCAAAGTTCCATGAATGTTTGCCTTACCATCGGTCAGTACAATTTATTATTTTCTTATATTTTTATAGTTTTCACATTTTTGGTGCAGAACATTTCTGATGTCCCAGCAGTGGTAAGGGGGGGGCAATCAATAACTATAAGTCATACAGGAAAGAATGCCCAAAAGACATATATAAAATCTTTTTTTATTACTGTATATATTGTGATGGACACCAAGAAAAGCATCTTCTTCATGATCTACATTACACTTTAATAACTGCTTCAGTTTGAATTTGTATAACTGTAGCAGGAGTGTCTACAAGTGTTAATGCTATACTTAGTATTTCTGTGCTCATATTTCTGTTCAAATTTCTGGTTATACTTTTTCTACTATGAGTAATTTTCTTAAAGTGTGAGTTTTTGAAGATGAAATAGAATAAAAAGATACACATATTTATAATCCCATTTTTAATAAGAGCCAAGATTAAATGATTCAGAAAGATTGCCAATATTTGTGTTAATGAAATGAAAGTTAAAATACATAATAAATATTGGAGATTACTGGTAACTAAAATATTTGTAATATCACTTAGCAAAAGAGACAATCATTGTCCTCAAGTTTATTTCCTGGTAAATTTTATCTTTGCATTTTCTTTTCTTTTTTTTTAATAGGTGCTTTCTTTCTTTTTTTTTTTTTATTTAAGGAGAAAAAGAAAAAAACAGAATAAGGGTACAAGTAATACAAAATTTAAAAAATAAACAGTAAGAAATCACTAGTTAAAAGATTACATATTCTCATCTTAGAAATAGTTGTTCAAATTACAAAATTAAAGCATATAGAGGGGACTTTCAAACAGTGAGACTGCAAACAGTTTTGTTCAATGATCCAACAAAACTCAGTAATATGGTTATCTATCTTATACACTTAAACACATATGCAGTTATATCCTTTAGAGCACTTTCTTTTCTTTTCTTTTGTACAATGACAATTACGCATTTAATCTCCCTCTACAAAAGAAAATAAAATTAGATTTAGCATTCTATAGCTTTCATATACACAATGATATAAAGAGAAATCAAATCCTTTGATTCTCTTAAAGGTGTTCGTTATTAGAACAAAACTAATTTATTTTCCTTCTCTGGTTCTTCTGGACTGGAGTGCAGCTGCGGTTTCCTACCAGCTGTTTCCTTACTTGATTTGTACCACAGAAAGAAAATTATCAATTCAGTAGCCACATCAATGAGCTTAGGTCTCTTGTTCTCTTCAAAATAGCCATCCATACTTTCATGTATATTGAAGTTGAACAAAACAAAACAGGCTAAAATAACACCATTAATTAGAACAAAGCAAAACAGGAATAAAAGTATTTGCCTTCAAAGAGATGGTAGAAGGAAACCAGCCCCATTTGCTACACTGCCTATGGTCAGCCTCTCAAGGGATGTCCAGATCACCAGCTTCCACTTGCTAACAGGGCGGGGAGGGGATGTGATGTTGGATTCTCAGCCCCATGCACCGCAGGCTCACAGTCACTCACCATGGGGGACGGTTGTAGCATGGTGCCGGTCCCAGTAAACGCCAGTAGCTCCCATCCCAGGCTGCCGCAGCCTGCCACACTCACAGCCACTCACGGGGTTGGGGTGGGGGGTGGCTTCAAGCTGTTTCTTTCTAATGAATTGACCATTTCATTGCCCAAGTTCAGAAATGGCCACCAGACCATAGAAAGACATCTCTTTAGGCTCCTGCTTGAAACCAACAGTGTCAGGAAGCTGTCGGCCTTGATTCAGAGCCAGTACCATTACTAATTTTAAGAAGAACTTGAGATTTGGAGAACTTGAATATTATGTCTAAGACCATAGTTCTAGAAACTTGTCAAGTTAGGATCTAAAACCAGGTTCTGAAGACACTATACTTATCTTTTAGAAATCAGCTGTTGACATTATTTGAATCTTTCACATGCAAACACCATTTTTCATTTTCCAAACTGTGTTTTCAACCTGAGAATCAATAATTCCCTCTGCATCGTAATAGCAATCACACTCTCCTTAGTGGCCTTCACACGATGAGAATTAGTACATTCTGTGATCTAGATTCATCTTTATACATATGATAACTCATCTCATTTATACTACTAATCTCCATTCATTGAAAAGAAACTTTTGTGCCATTATCAGATTGTTTCTGCTTTGCAAGACAAAATCTTTTTTTATCTCTGAAGATAATGATATATAGTGGGTTAAATAGTGTTATCCTTTTATTATTTTGCTATGAAATTTTATTTGCCCATAAAATAAAAACAAGTTATTATATATTCATGTGACAAATACATACTGATTCTAACACCAACCAGAGCCACGAGAGGCATGGTGCTCCGATGAGAGTGGAGAATTGTCTCTGCCTTCTGGCCTGGGTCTACAGTCCTGTCACTTGCTCTGTGTGACAGTATTCTCATTCAGCTCCTTCTTATCACATGCTGCTGCCAGCTTTGGGACATTAGCTCTGCATGGTTTCTCTTCTTTCCCAGATTACATGAAGGCCACTCATATAAGCCTCACCCACTGGGACCATCTACGTTCCAACATCCAAGTCATGAACCATGTTTCTGGAGAAATCTTCAGCTTTCAGTCTAAGAATCATGGAGGTGCTTGCACTGGGGTAGAAAGACTGGCATTTTCCAAAATCTATGTCGCAGCTTTTCTTAACAAATAATTCTAATAGACTGCAAAGTTTCAAGAAAGCTATCTTGAACATTTCATTCAAATTTGATTAATCACTCCTACTTAAAATCTTGTCCAGTCCTCCACGGTAATAAAATGATTTGCTTTAGTTTCATTGTAGGTGTTTAGGTGTCCAACTTCAGAACTAACACGTTCCCAGCAGCATGATGCACTCCTGCACTACCTCTGGCCGGCACCTTTAATGAAACTTTCTTCATCTCTCAGGAAAAGAAACTAAAGCTTCCATATAAAGGTATAAACTAGGTAGAATTTGAGCGAGAGTGCAAGAGTATTGAGAAAGCTTCTGGGATGAAACATCTGAATGATGTTTTATAATTTTTAAACTTCTCTGCTTTATCATTTTTAAACTACTATTGTGATTTTTCTTTTTATCCAATACACATAGTTAACTGTATCAAACATCATCTTAACTAGTTCTAATGGTGTCCTAGTGCGAGTTCTAACGATGTCCTCATGGAACACCACTCACACTCACACTTACACTTATCATGGGCCACCTGCAAAAATCCAGCCTTTTATTCCCGTGGTGTGATTTCATCGACATTTCTGTGTCTTGACCAGCCTGAGGACACAACGCACTCCTCAGAGACCTACTTTCTGTATATTTTGAAAAACAGACAAACAACAGGCAAAACCTCAAGTGAACTATCAAAACAAGAAAAATAGGGTCATAAAATGTGAACAGTTCCAACGACATGTTTTATACCTCCTACTGGGTTCATTAGGCAAAATAAAACTGTTAAAATACTTCTACAAATGGCATAAGTATTATGCCTAATTACATTACTCTAGTAAAAAATGAAGTCATTTGGCTTGTAGCATTTATGAAAATAAGAAGTCTTCTTCCTGCTAAAATACTGAAGCTGTTTATTATCCCTTCTCTAACATAGAAGACTCAGAAAAAGGTGTTTTATTCAAATTGCCTATAAAGTCCTTTTTTCTGTCTTTCCTTTTGCATTCTTTTTTAGTTGTTATTGTTTTATTTCTGGCTTGTGTTGTTTTATTTCTGGCACTGAGTGCATGGATTGCAGCCTAAAAATGTCTTTCTTGAGTGTGGCCAAGCTTGCAATGGCGGGGGAATAACTGAAGGCTTTCTGTGACTTTTCAGCTCCACATGCCCAGAGGTTCAGGGCGACTTTCCTTTCTTCACAGCTTCATAAGTCTGGGGAAGAACTGGGGAGGGAGCATGTAGAGACATCTTCAGAGGCGCTACAGAATTACAAGTCTTGCTTAAGTAAATTTAAAAAATAAAGTAAATCTCCCATGAGAAAGACACTTTTATTAGAAGAACTTTTAACCAATTTTCATGGAAAAGATATTTGTATTAAATTCCTCTAAACTGTGATTAAATTTTAAAATTCAAATTTAAAAGATTTTACATAAAAATTTCAAAGTAGAGCTAATAGTAAGTTGTAAATGAAGTAAAGGAAATGCAAGAATAAGAACTAGAGGGCCCATAACCCCAAAACAGTGTTTTTCATGGTAAAGTTTGTCACAAACAGACTTCAAAGAATCCATCAATTGGGGAAGGGCAGGACTATAGCTCAGTGTCAAAAGTGCCTGCCCGGCAAAGACAAAGTTGTGAGTTTGATCTCCTGTACTCCAAAAATAAACAAATAAATACAAAATAAAAATAAAGGATCCATCAATTCACAGAAAATATTTCCTCATGTGACAGCAGGTATTTGGCATTGCTTATGTACATGTTTAAAAGTTAAAAGTCTCATAGGAGGAGTCAGTGCCACTTGCAGACCAGAGGGAGAAAGAACAAAGTCGCACCAGCACGCAAGCCCAGTCTGCCATGTCTGGGCAGGCGGAGGACTGGCACAGCCAGACCCTAGCCCCCTGTGCCATGCGGGCAGGCAAACAAGGAGTACCAACCCCACCCCACCTCCAGCCATGACGGCTTTATCCTGAGAAACACAGGCTGTGATGATATCTATGGAGGTGAAGTGCAATTGGGTGTCTGTGGTGCTTTGGTGTTTCACTAATACTGCAGATCTAGGGCCAGGGGTCTGATCGCAGGTTCAGAGGGTAGTATACGGTGTGACACCTGAGGGAGAATCTCCTTCTGAGGGTGGCAGCCATTGCTGATTCCCTGTGGTACTGTTTTGGAAGTCCTGTATCATTTCCATTGCTTTGTTGCATAAGGTTTTATTCTCTTTTCTTTTGTTTGATTATGTCAAATCCGATGGCAGGAGCAGCTATTTCAAAGATAGCCAGATATATTATAGTAGCCGTTTTAGATTTACTATTGACTTGTTTTGAAGTCCTTATTATTGCATTCATTGTCTTGTTTTTATTGTTTCTATTCTGTTCTGTTTGACTTCTAATATGCCTGAAGTTATCTGCAGCTATTTTGAAGACATCAAAAGACATTTTGGTAATTATTTTTTCTTTCATAACAGTTTTAGGACTGTAGCTCTTACACTGGTTTATTTTGATTGGTTTTATTCTGTTTTATCATCTTTAAAATAAAAACAAAAAGTCTAAAATGAACCCATGCAATTGTATAATGCAGGTAATTACTGAGCTAAGGCCTTTGCATTTAAGAAAGCAAGATTTGTGTGTATGTATTTACATGAGAGTTTCTTCTAGAACTCAACTTTTATTGAATTTTTTTACCTGATACATAAAAACACAAAAATATACATATTTATAGGATACCACCTGATATTCTGATATCTGTAAATATTGTGTAATGTTTAAATCAGAGTAAATTGTCTCCTCAAATGTTTCTAATTTCCTTGTGGTAGAAATAGGAACTCAGTGATTTTGAATGATAGTTACTGAGACTGAGAAGTAAAAAATATACTAACACATAACCTTATGCCAGCTTGTGTCATTACTTTCCCATGAAATATACACAAATATACGTTCTCACAGTTTTTCATAGACAATATAGCAATAATAATAAATTTAACTTTTGAATTCTTATTACGATACATGACACACATAGATATCCAATGTAATGTGATAACTGAATGAATCAAAAAAATTTAAAAGCAATATCATTAAAGGGGTCCAGGGATTTAGCTCAGTGGCTCAAGCATTTGCCTGGTAAGTGCAAGGTTGCAATTTTGATCCTGGTACCAAAAAAAAAAAATCATTGAGGGGAAAATATCATTTATTTACACTCTGCATGGGTACAGACTATACTCACAAACAATTTTATTTTACATGTAGTTATCTTTTTATTACAAGTTCTAAAACCAAAATACATTTGAAAAAATTCTAGAATACACTTACTCTAAATTTGAATATTCATTTTTTTCAGTATTTTAAAAAACAAAAGTGTGAAATTTAAAGAAATACATATTTAAAGAAATAATGTACATCATTAATGACATGAACAAATCAAAGAAAACATTCTCAGGTAAGAATAATTAGAGGATTTGGGCAATATTTTGTGTATTAGACAGCTTTCATAAAACAAGTTAAAATATGAGGTACCAGCTATGAGAATATTATGCTCATTAACAAAATCCAAATTACTCTTTAGCAAATTATGAATTGCATATATTTCAAAATTACTCTACAGTTATCTTTACTGACATTTTAATTAAAAATGTTTGAAAGGTGGCAGACTGCGGCCCCTCCAGGGGGAGAATCACCAACAACTCCTGAGATCTGTGCCATGTTGGAACTTAGGACACTGGGAAGCCAAGCAAGCACCTGCCCTCCCTGGTAAGTGGTGGTGGTGTGGTGGACTGTGGCCCTTCCAGGGAAAGAACCACCAGTGTTTCCTGAGTTTCACACCATATTGGAACATAGGACACTGGGAGACCAAGCAAGCAGCTCACCTCCCTGGTAAGTGGCTGCAGTGTGGCAGACTGTGGCCCTTCCATGGGGAGAACCACCGGAGGCTCCTAAAATCTGTGCCATGTTGGAATTTATGAAGCTGGGAAACCAAGCAACCAGCCTGCCTCCCTGCTAAGCGATAGTGAGCCTACTGTGCACGGCCTAGAGTCAAACATCCCACTTCCCCTAACCCCTCTTTTCTTGCCCCCCCCCCATTAGCAAATGGGAACCAGAGATCTGAGCATCTCCTGGGAGGCTGACCATAGCAAATAAGGGGGATGTCCTTCTACCATCTCTTTGAAGGAAATATTTTTATTATTGTTTTGCTCTATTCTGATTAATGGTACTGCTCTATTACTGTTATCCCGGTAACCTGCTGTGAATTTCTGTACCAGTTTCACTGTAAAATCTTAGTTGGCTTTATTCTGTCTTGTTCTGTTGTATTTTACCACTTTCAAAATAAAATTTTTAAAAAAATGTTTGTGAAGTGTAATCCCAGAGACACAGGAAGTTGAGACAGAAGTATCACAAGTTCCAGGGCAGCCAAGAAACTCAACAAGTCCCTGTCTCTAAATAAAACTATAAAAGGGGGTAAGGATGTAACTGAGAGGTACAGACCTGCCCAGCATGCACAAGACCTGGGTTCAGTCCTCAGTACAAACATAAATAAACAAATGAGTTTCACAGATGTGCCTTCTAAAATGGTTTACTTAATATGCTTTAAAACAATATAATCCATTTTTTGTAAATGGCTTTTAAACATTGACATACCTTTATGTTTTATTCTGTGTAGTTTCCTCACTGCTAATGAAATTTTCCTTCGTAAAATATTTTCTACTTGAAGGTTGAATAGGAAAGAGCATATATTTATACTTACTTTTAAAAGATATCCATCTTAAAATTCCACTTGAAATGTTCAAGAGGATCTATAAATGAGAAAGAGAAAAAATACAAATATCTTTTCGTTTAAAAAGAATGTGTATGCAACAAAATAACTGGAGTAAATTAAAAACATTGTGACAATCATAGAAACCACTTTCTCAATTCATTCAGTCTTCAACTAAACACTTAACATAATTTTAATTCAAAATTATAATGTTTAAAATTATAATGAAGAGAAAATTTACATTCTGCCTTATTCACTTTATATTTTATGCTCATAAGGATTCAGTGTTGCTCTGTGATAATTATCAAAAGTTATTAAGGTTTCACTTATTTTACATCACTACATAACTTAATAATAATTTAAAAATTAGTTTTTAACATTTCAATCCAATGGTTAGTTGATTATTAACAGCTTCTAAAGTGCACAGTTACAATAAAAAAGGAAAGGAAAAAAGAAAAAACACTTTCATTTTTTAAAGTTTTATATTACATCATAATAAATGTTAGGCTGTTCCAGAAGACATTTAAAAATATATAAAATTATGGAGTTTAACAGGAATTTAAGAATTATAACTGTCCTACAACATTCTTCTATGTCATTCACCAACAAAATCTCTTAAAGATACCATACTATACTTTTCCTTAAACACTTTTAAATGTCGCATTCCCTGATTCCCACTCACAACTACAGAACTGGCTTTCATTTCTATATTCCACAGTGCTCCATGTACACTCCAGCATTTATTTGACATGTTTCTAACTGCCAGCTTATTGGGGTGCCTTTACCTTGAAACTGTAAACATTTAAACACACTACTTGGAGTTCTATTATTAGGATAGTGTCAACTCCATAGTAAGCATACAATATATATTTTTGATCCGTGACCTAAGAAAGTACCTTGTACCTGGATATTCTACAACAATAAGTCAGGGAGTTTCCTTCTGAATCCTGATCTTATACACACAAAACACTGTGAATATTTTATTGTAAGACACTGTTGGTCTATTAAGGATTTATGTCATTCAAATGATGATACAGTGTTTTCAGAATCTCACATGGAGAAAGTACCATTGGGCTAACCCTAAAAGATGAATGGGATTTAAATAGGAAAATCATAGTGGGAAGAATACAAAAGATATTTTAAACACACTGATGAAAGTCTAATGTCTGGGATGTTCAAATAAATACAATTAATGAGAAATAGTTAAAGAATGTTTATAGATCTGATCAGCATACTATTAATACCTAATATGTAAACAGGCTTTGTGATTTGTGTCGTTCTAATATAAATATGATCTCTCTGATTATTTTTTTACTATCCATGTTTTACGATGAAAGGCAGGGCGGTGATGCTACCTGATGGTGTAATCAGGGTGGTTCCCTTTAACAAAGACTGTCACATAAGGAGACCCTCTTCTCAGGATGTACAGAGATCCTCCGTGAGTGAGATCCTGGCCTCTGGCAAATTCTTTTTCTTCATTCCAGGCCACTAAACATTAAGGTGTGTCCTGCTTGGTCTGCAAAGTAGTATCATGATTGGCTGCTAAAAATCAGAACGCTGTCCAAAACTTTTTGGAAATTACTGGCTAAACCCATATATTTTTAAAATTATAAACCAACTCCCTGCCGATTCCAGACTACCCAACACTCTTTAATGGGCATTAATATTACCATAGCAGTAGGAATTTCAAGAAGGAATTCATGAAAGCAGGATACGTGATTGAAGGAGGCAAAAGAATTATGACTTGGAAAGCATTCCGATCCTAATGGAAGGTTAGAGTTTTAAGGGTCATTGACTTTTCATCGACAAGCAAAATCTAAATTGGCTTCACTTTTGGAAGAGGAACCCAGAGAATGAGCAGAGCAGCCGAAACTCCTCCTTGAACCTTCCGGCCTCCACATCCCAGTTTCCAATGTTGTCACCTCCCTGCCCAGGCCACAGGACTATTTCACCTTTTATGGAGTGGTGTACGTACAGCTCATGTTTTACTAACGTTTTAAAATTAATTAACAAATGTTTGCAAGCGCTTTGAAGATGAAAAGTTGTGCAAGTGCTCAGTATTATCATTATGCCATTATCATAAAACACAGCAAGCCCAGGAGGCGGCGAGCTCCAAGGCGAAGGCCGACCGTGGAGGCAGCGCGGCGCGGACGATGGCCCGGGGACAGCGAAGGCCGAGCGGGGCGGCGAGGAGCTGGCCGCGGCTCAGGTGGGTCCAGCCGCCGCCTGCTGCCTGCACGGGGCCAGGGCAGGGCCGGGGCTTGCTCTCTGCTTACAGCTCTTGGGAAACAGAAGCAATAGAAAGTGTAATCAAAAGAAAAACAAAAATGATCAACTTGGGTAAATGTTAAGCTTGCAAACTGCTCGGATTCATCTTTCTGAGAATTCTTCCCATTACAATGAGAGTAGGGATGGGAGGTGTAATTGCTGACCTGAAGGCGCTTGTGGGGTTTTATCTTTAGGAAGGTTATTTCTCTAGGAACACGGAGCGAACACGATATTTAGGGCTGTTTCTAGTGGTGTAGGACGCTATGGACATACTAATGTTTGCATGGGCTACTTCACCTTAACTTTAGTTATTAAAAATAAGTAATAATTTTTCATTGTGTCACTGCTATACATTTTCAGTGTCATGATTTAACATTTTAGTTGAAAACAAAAACAAAAAAGAGACAATTTTGTCTTTTCTCAGTAATAATGTCATTTATTTGCATAGAAATTGACCTGGAAGTCAAAGAAATATGTTTTTCGCGCACATGCAGGCAGACAAATAATTTTTACAGTTTTGATTCTTAAGGTAATTAAATTAACACAATGATAAATGTTCACATATGTGTTTAGTCTTTCCTAGCATTTCAACAAAATGTATGTCTTAATAAATCCAGAGAGATCAACTCATGTTTTTAATAAAAATTGTTAAACACAGTTTTGGTTTTGGTATTGTTCCATTGTTCAGATCCTAGGCAAGTGGCATAATATTGGGCAAGATGTAATTTCCAAATACACAGCTTTAACAATATTTTTATGTTCACATTAATATTTAACTTAAGTACAGGAAGAGCACTTAAGTGTTTTTAATCAAATTAAATACTAATTTTTTAACAAAACTATAGTAAAAATCTTTTATCTCAGTTTCTAAGGAATGGGTTCTGTCTGTGTCCTTCATATTAACTTGGTCAGCTTCTTATGCCCTATACATAACATCTGAGAGAAAAATACGAGAAACCTAGGTTTTATCTTTTAAAAGAATGAATAACTTTAAGTATAACCCACTTGCTAGCCACTGTGCCTAAAAAACTCCTAATAATTCCTTTTGTCATTAACATCTTACTGTTAATTATTATACCCAAGTGGCTTCAGAGTACATTTGAGAATTAACAAAACGCACACACACAAAATTAAGGCTTACTGCTAAAATCAGAAGAGATTTGACTATTACTCACCTTAACTTCAACCCAAGACTCAAGTTCTATTGAAAAAAGTCATCTAGTTTTTAACCAATATGTCACTTGATAAAAATTTGGGAAAATGGACTTTCATATATCTGAAAATTTTAAAAAACATTATAAAGAAATGACAAAGATAAATTTTCCTTTTGAATTTATGAATATACTCAGGGATATTCATGAAGTATACACAGGGGATAATTATTTTCCAGCTAAAAGTATTTTGCAAATAGAAAAAAACACCAGAATTTTAGAAAACTCAAATGAGATGATAGAAATCAACTCCTGAGGGCTGGGGATTTAGCTCAGTGGCATAAATGCCTGCCTTGCAAGCGTACAGTCATGAGTTCTATCCCCAGTACCAAAAAAAAAAAAAAAAAAAAAAAGAAAAGAAAAGAAAGAAAGAAATTCCTGGTTCATTTGCCTTTAAAATTAAGTTTTTTCACTGACCATAATTTCACACCTCCAAGTAAAGCCAGTTCACCATGATGGTCTATTTTGGTTGTAAGACAATTGAGTGCTCTAAGTCAAAGTGATTTATTTATCATTTATCATTTATGAAAATCATTTATTTTTCCTTTGGGAGTTCAGAAAAAAAGAGTCCTATTCCTAACTCTAACCCTAACCTTCAGTATACCAATGATAACACAGGGCAAATCTCTAAAGAGAAAAATATTTCTTTAAAATTGGGAAAATAGGATAGGTGATTGCAAAGTCACTTCTAATTTGACTTTTTGGGCAAAATCTCACTCTAGGAAATCTATGGAAGGAAAGTTGAAGTTCATATTAGACAAACTCCTGTATATGAGGATTGCTTTACAGTTTGTACACAAATAGAAGGAGAAACAATAACTGAGGGGTTCCTGAATATCCACAGATTGAATTATTAGAAAATTATCAATATTCAACTTTTTATTTACAAAAGCATCAAGCCTAATATGGTGCATTCTAGTAAGAAGAGTAAGAAAACCCAAATACTTGCTGTGTCATATTTCTCACCTGTTTTCATGTTTTTACTGGGACTTTCCCATGGTAAACTGTCTTGATAAAACATGCAGACATGCACCTATGGCAACAGAGAAAGATGTTCTAAAAAACATATGCATTTGTAGGAAATTAATTACCAAGATTTGCCATACCTTTTAGTTGATTCTTTTATTAAAGCTGTTAAACCCTTTCCTAGAATCAGTGCATAGGATGATCAGATTGAAAGCTTGCTTTCCAGATCAGGCAGGGAGTTCCAGGTCAGCCTGGGCACCTCAGGAGTCTTGTCCTCTTTCCCCTGGGCTTTTATACAGTGAGACTTCTTTTAGTTTTAGTTTTTCTTTCTGAGGAACCAAAAAGTTCATAGTTATCATATATCTATAGAAATACTGAGATACTAACTTTTATATGTAGATATGCAAACAGTTTGGACAAAACACTTAAATAGAATTCTTTAAGTAAAATGAAATCACTGAAGAGATTATAAAACTTAGAAATTTCAGCTGCATTGGAGAGCTACCTAATATTGTTTTTAGTGGCCTTCATCTCTAAAAAGTAAATTATCTGATAAGATATTTGACTTGGTTAACAAATAAAAATTAAAGTAATATAGTTCTTAACATATTCAAACTTATTATATATAAAGTATCCAAACACACATATAAATACTGAACTATATATATTCATATATAGTATAAGTACAAAATATATTTGTATTATCTTTATTTAAATACAAAATATAGATACACTTGGATTATATTAACAAGATTAAATATAAAATATAAGCATATTATGTTAATATAAAGCAAAATATGGAGTGTACAAATGAATCTAGAACTACATTATGGGCTGGATTTTGTCCCTCAAAAGTTAGACAGTGAAGTGTTAACCTCTGGTGTCTCAGAGATTGAGTGTATTCGAAGATAGATAAAAAGAGATGAGGAAGCTGAACTGAGGTTGCTAATCTGAGGTCCTCAGGAAAGGAGGAATTAGAGCACAGATGACCGGTAGAGGGTGAGCATTGGAGACAGGGAAGGGAGCCCTCACCGGCCTAGCAGGGAGCCTCAGAAGGAAAGAAACCTGCCCAAGGTTCCTCTCATGCTTCCAGCCTCCATGACTTACAAGGAAAAATAGCTTCTGGCTGCCAGAGTCTCCCAGTCTGTGTGGTTTGTGGTGGCAGCCTCAGTCGGCTAATATAAAACACAGCATAGAGCGTGCTATTTTTTCAGTTCTTGCATTTTACATTTATTAGTAATCGTGTTCATCATTTTGCACCTCATGGCTACCATGATAGTTTTTCCACAGAAAATGCCCCATAAACAAGAATACCATAAACTAATTCTGCCAGGCATGACAATGCACACCTGTAATTCCAGGATTTAAGTAGACTGAGGCAAAACGATCACCTTGAGTGCGAGGCGGACTAGGCTACATAGTAAGTTCAAGGTCATTCTGAAAAACATAGTGATACCCTTCTCAAAAAGAAAAGCAACAAGAGGGGCTGGGGATTTAGCTCAGCGGCATAAGTACCTGCCTTGCAAGCAGGCAGCTGTGAGTTTGACCCCCGGTACCGATAAAAAGGAAAAAAAAAGAAAAGAAAAGAAAAGAAAAGAAAAGAGACAAAAAAAGTAAATTATACATTTAGTTCAGTTCTAAAGAAACATTTCCTGAATATCTTTGGAGGTTAAACTTGAGTTTTTATTTTATATTAGAACATAATACCTTGGAATAAAGTTGCCTCTCAATTCATAAATGATGTGACTATTTATGTTTAAAGCTTTTAATATTATTTTAATATTCTTATTTAACTTATGTCCTACTGGTGTTTCCAAGCTTTCTGTACATTTATACCTAAACGTTACAGTCCAATCAATCTTCACATAATGATGGAGAGACCTCCAGAGCTGATTGAAAAGGAGCAGATCCCAAAAGGCTACAGACTGGATGATTTCATTTATCTAATATTCTTTTTTTAATTGTGTTTTAAAGAGGGTAAAACTAAACAGAACAAAGCAGATTAGAAGAAAACAATGTAAGTGACACAGATTTCAAAGCAAGACAATACGAGATCATCACTGGCTACTATTTATGTCTCGTTTTCTTCTAAATATTTGTCCATATCTTCACACACAATGAATTCATATAAAACAAGATAGTATTACACTGATCAGGCCAGAGTGATGAAGACATTATAGGCCTTCAAAATCAGACAATACGGAAATCAGCAATGGCTGCCATGATGTCTCTCATTCTCTTCAAAATAGCTCTCCATACCTTCATGTATGTTAAAATTAAACAATTTAAACAGACTAAAATCACTCTGAGCAAAGACTAATAACATTACTGGATTTCACAGCATGATGATATGGAATCAGCAATGGATAACATAGTGTCTCTTTTTCTTCAAAGTAGCTGTTAATTTCATCATGTATTATATAATTCGATTATCATGAACTGTTTAGGAGAAGTTCTATGCACTTCTAAGTCTCTACATGTATACCTGTCCTTTCTATACTAGAGGGAAAAATGAAACAAAACAAAACAAAATGCTAGAAAAACACAAAACAAAAAAGACAAATAACAGCAAAGAGCCCAAAACACTGACAATACAGGACTTCAAAACAAGGTGTAGGAACGTAAATAGGGCTCTAATTTTACATACTGATCTTCAGATTCCTTAGATCACCAGATACTAACATGCACAATTGTTCCTATCCTATGAATGTGAACTGCTTTGTTCCAAGAACTTGTAGAATTTGTAGCACAATCATCTTAGCTATCCTAAGTGTGTTTTCATAATTTAGATGCTTTTTCTTTTCCCTTCTTTTTTCTTTTTCCTTTTCCCTGAGATATTATTTTTCCCCTTTAGCAGATTCTTATCCTTTCATTGTATTTAATGAGGATTTTATATTTTATGCATGCTTACCATTTCTTATACCAGGGAGACTATCCAGTATTTGCACGTGTGAGTTTGATTTATTTAACTTATGAGTATGGTCTCAAACTGCATCCATCTATTTATAAATATCTGAATGTGGTCATTTTTTATAACTGAGTAGTACTCCATTGTATAAAAATACCACATCATTTTTTATGCATTCCTCAGTTGATGGGCATTTAAGTTATTTCCAAGACCTGGCTATTACAAATTATGCTGCCATAAACATGGGTGCACATATATCACTGTGATATGATGTTTTGAGTTCTTCTGGGAATATACTCAAAAGTGGAATAGCTGGGCCAAATGGGACTTCCAATCCCAGCTTTTTGAGGAACCTCCACACTGAACTCCACAGTGGTTGCACCAGTCTACATTCCCACCAACAGTGCAGGAGAGTTCCTTTTTCCCTGCAGCCTCTCCAGCATTTGTTGTTGTTAGTTTTCTTTACACTGGCCATTCTTTCTGCATTGAGACAGAACCTCAGTGTGGTTTTAATTTGCATTTCTCTAATGACTAAAAATGCTAAACTTTTTTTGTGTATTTATTTGCCATTTGTATTTCTTCATCTGGTAACTGTGTATTCATCTCAGATGCCCATTTTTTTATTGGGTCCTTTTCCAGAGTCTGATTTTTTAAAATTCTTTATGTGTTCTAGACAGAAGTCTTTTGTCTGAGGGACATTTCGCTAAGATTTTTTTCCCAGTTGTGGGTTTTCTTTTCACTATGCCAAAGACTTCTTTTGACATGCAAAAACTCTTTAATGTGATCCCAGTTATTGACTCTGGGAAGTATATTGTATATGGTTTAATTCTTTTTTTTTTTTTTTTGGCTTTTTTGTTTTTATTGGTACCAGGGATCGAACTCACAACTGCCTGCTTTCAAGGCAGGCGCTTATGCCGTTGAGCTAAATCCCCAGGCCCCTTAATTCTTGTTCTTGAATTCTCTACCTACCCCTAGGTGTTTAAGATCTCTACCTACTTTTTCTTCTAACACATTTAGTGTTTCTGTTTTAACATTTAGATATTTGATCAATTTAGACGTTAGTTTAGTACATGGTGATAGGAATGGGTCTACTTTTAGTTTTCGGTATATGGAGAGCCAATTTTGTCAGCACCATTTATTAAGGAGACTATCTTTCTTCCAGTGAACATGTTGGCCCCTTTATCAAAGATAAGGTGGCTGAGTATGTTTGTACTTGTAATTGTATCTTCTAATCTATTCCATTGATCTTCAGGTCTGTTTTTATTCCAGTACTATATTGATTTTATTACAGTAGCTTTGTAGTATAGCTTCAAGTCAGAGATTGTGATGTCTCCTGTCTTGCATTTGTTGCTTAGAATTGCCTCTCATATTCTAGGTCTCTTCTGATTACAAATGAATTTTAGAAGTGATTTCTCTAGATCTGTGAGATATGCTACTGGTATTTTGATGAGAATTGCATTAAATCTGTATACTAATTTTTGGAGAATGATCATTTTCACAATGTTTGTTCTTCCTACCCATGAACAAGGGATGTCTTTCCATTTTCTAAGGTCCTCTTTGATTTCTTTTTCAGGGTGTTATTATTTTCCCTGAATAGGTCTTTTACTTCATTTGTTAGATTGATTCCTAAGTATTTCATTCCTTTGGCTGTATTGTGAAGAGTGTGGTTCCTCATTTCTCTCTCAGTGATTTTGTTGTCAGTGTATAGGAATGCTATTAATTTTTGAGTGTTGACTTTGTATCCAGCTACATTACTGAATTTATTTATTATACCTAGAGGAGTCTTTCAATGGAGTTTGGGGGTTTTCTATGTAAAGTATCATGTCATCTGCAAATAATGATAATTTAACTTCCTCTTTTCCTATCCTTGCTCCTGTTATTTCTCTCTCTTGTCTAATTGCTCCAGCTAGTATTTTCAGCACCATATTGGATAAGAGCAGTGATAATGGACATTCTTGTCTTGTTCCTGATTTTAGGGTAAAGGCTTTCAATTTTTGGCCATTTAATATGATTCTGGCTGTTGGTTTTTCATAGATGGTTTTTTATCATATTGAGGTAAAGACCATCTATTCCAATTTTCTGTAAGTTCTTATCATGAATGAATGTTGAACCTTATCAAAAGCTTTTCCTGCATCTATAGAAATGATCATGTGATTCTTATTTTTGGCTCTATTGATATGGTGGATTACATTTATTGATTTACATATCTTGAACCATCCCTGCATTCCTGGGATGAATCCCACTTGTTCATGGTATATAATCTTCTTGATGATTTGCTGCATTCTTTTTGCCAATATTTTATTGAGAATTTTTGCATCTATGCTCATTCGGGAAATTGGTCTGTAATTCTCTTTTTTGGTTGGGTCTTTCTCAGATTTTGGTGTTAGAATAGTATTTGCTTCCAGGAATGGGTTAGGGAGGATTGCTTCCCTGTCAATTTCATTGAAGAGTTTGATGAGTGTTGGCATCAAGTCTTCTTTGAAATTCTTGTAGGATTCTGCAGTGAATCTGTCTGGACTTGGCTCTTCTTTGTTGGTAAGGATTTAATTACATTTTCATTTTCGTTAATGGAAAATTCAATTATTCAGCAGTTTTACAACTCCTTGACCCAGCTTTGGTACTTCATATGTTTCTCAGAATCTGTCCATTTCTTCTGTGACATCAAGCCTAAGAGAGTAGAGATTTTCAAAATACGTGTTGATGATTTTCTGTATTTACAGACAGTCTGTAGTCATTTCACGCTTGTCATTGCTTATGCATGAATTTGAATATTTTTATTCCCTTTTTAAAATAAGGTTGGCTTGGGGCTTATAACATTTATTCTTTCAAAGAAGAAACTCTTTGATCATTGATTCTTTGTATCGTTTTCTTAGTCTCTATTGCATTGATTTCTGCTATAATCTTTATAATTTCCTCCCTTCTTTTGGCTTTGGGCTTGATTTGCCCTTCTTTTTCTAGATGTTTCAGGTGTAGCATTGGGTTGTTTATTTGTGTTCATTTTGTTTTCCTGATGTGAGAATTCACCACAATAAATTTTCTTCTGAGGACTGCTTTCATCATATCCCACAGGTTCTGATAAGTTGTATTTGTATTTCCATTTGCTTGTAGATATTGTTTAATTTCTTCTTTAATTTCCTCTGTGACCCACTGATTGCTCGGGAGTGTATTATTCAATTTCCATGTATTTGTGGGGTTATTGCAGTTTCCTTTGCCATTAACTTCCAGTTTTTATTTCCTGTATATCTCTTTGAATCTGCTTCATGTTTGTTCCTTACATTGTTCATTCAGGGTTTCCATCTTTTTGCATTGCTCCTCTAATTTTTTAACTGTGTCTTCTTTAGATGTGTTCAGTACTCCTTTAATTACATTTATCATTCCTTCTTTCACCTGGGAGATTATTTCTGATCTGAGTTCTTTTACATCTTCTGGAGCTGTTTTTTCAGCTGTTGCCATTTCAGGAATTTCAGGTGTATGGCTTACAATTTCTTCTGTGTCCACTTCTCCTAGGCTTGCTTGAGATGCGTTGGAGGTTTGAGATTACATTTTGCTTTTTTGTTTTGTTGTTTTCCTATATTTCTGGGTTTTGTGCAATGTTGCAAAGACTTCCTGTGTGCTGGGAATCACCTCGAGCACGTTTGGCTCCTGGAGCGGAATGCAGGCAACTGCTAGCAGCTTGGAGTTCACTGGGCATGGCCCAGTTAGGCCCTTGGGGACCTCCCATGCATCCTTGGGTGATTTGGGACACTGGGCAGTATCTTAACAGCTGGGATAGATTTTCCAAAGTATCCCCCATATTCTGGGAATAACCTCATGCACTTTCAGCTCCCAGGCTATAATATTATTGAAATGACAAAATTATAGAAAGAGAGGATGTATTTGTGGTTTCCAGGAATTACACAGGGCAAAGATGAAAGAGACAAGAAGATGAGGCTTTAAAAAAGCAACATCAGCAGCCTGGTCATGATGTAAATGTTGACTGTAACACTCTCCTTGTGATATTATACAAACAGTTTTTCAAGTCAATACTATTGGAGAAAACTCAGTAACAAGTACAATGAACCTGTATTATGTCTTACAGCTGCATGTGACTCTACAATTTTGTTTCAAAATGAAAAGTTTAGTGAAAATGTTTTTTTAAAATAACTATATGAATTTCTCTTAGAGCATTATATAGGACATCTTGCCTGATAACTCTAAGTCATTGCCACAGAAATGGTAGAATGCAGAATATGTTATAGGTTAAAAGATACAGAAATGCAAGACTCAAATAAAATGTAGAAATTTTGACTTTTATGTTTCTTCTTTGAGGACAAGTACAGATACCTGAATGTGAATTTGACATTAGAGGGTATTAAGAAATTAATGACAATTTCTCTAAGTATTACAAAGGTCATAGAAAAATGCTGTTATTTTTTAGATGCCATGTAAATTATTTAGAGATGAATATCATGATGCAGTTACTTTCAGTACATTAAAATACCTTAGAAAAGCATATGAAGTAAATATTTTATTGCAAGATATTACTGTTCTTAAACCTGTGTAATGAGTATACAGCAATCCATTAAACTATCCTGTCTACATATTTAAAGTTTTTCTGTAAAAAACAAAATTTTCTTGATGCCACTTTCTTCCCCTTCAGTCCAGTTTCTTTGCTCTCTTTAGTAAACTATTTAGAAGCGAGTTTAATGGTCACTGTGTCTAGTTTTTCTAATTCCATTTTCTCTTAATTCATCTTTAACTGACCTTATCCCCTTTCCAACCCTAAAGCTTGCATTTCATCAAGATCATCTGTAACCTCTCCATGCTAGTCCAGTGGTGCCAGTGCTCATTTGCTTTTCCTGTTTGAGCTATGATCTGGCATAGATGGTTCCCTTCTTATTACTGACACACTTCTATCTGCTTCCAGGGTATCATTTCCTCTAGACTTTCCTCCTACCTCACTGGCAGTTTCCTCTCTGTAGCCTTTGATGGATTACCCTCCTCTCACTAATCTAATGAGTGGCCCAGTGACTCTTTCTTGGTCTTGTTTCTACCTGCAAACACTCTCTTGTTAATCTCATGGAGCTTCAGAGCCTAAGCTGTATGTTGGTGAATGGCAAATTTACATTACAACCCACATTTCAAACTTTTCTATATAGCTCACATCTCCATTTGAATAGCTACTGAGGATCCTTTTAAAATTGAACTTATACTTTTCCCCCAAAACCTGCTCCATCAACAACTGCCCATCTCATGTGATGATGAGCTCCATCTTTGGAATTCTCTAGCTGAAGACATAGCAGCCATCCACAACTCCTGCCTTCTATTCACACTCCACACTAACTCATCACAATATCCTGTGAAACCTGCTGGCAAGATGGACCCTACTTCAACCTTCTCCATTTCACATGGTCCAAGTCAGCATCCTTAGTTTGGATTACTGTAGTCTTTTCTATCTTGTCATGCTGCTTCTACTTTAGCCCTCCCCGCCTTTTTTCTTCAGAGTAGACAAAGTTATTACATTAAGACAAAGTCAGATCATCACAGTGCTCTACTAAAAACCATTGAATGCTATCATTGTCTCCAAAATTAAATAAAAAGATTATTTTCAGAACCACAAGGCCCACAGGGTCTTTGTTTTGGGGAATTTTTATTAGTGCAGTACATAATGATTTTATTCATTATGAGGAGCTAGTACATGGACACAACACATCTTTGTTCTTTTTACTTCTCCCCCAACCCCCACACCAGTCCCAGTCTCTTGTTCTCTTCTCAGGGCATTCATTGAGTTGTTCTCCCTTTCTGGGACATTCCAAATATCCACATGGATAATAACATCCTCATTAGTGTAAGTCTTCTCGGATTTTCCCTTCCCTTGCCACCTCATCCCCTTGTACACCCTTGAATTTCTGATCTTTGTCCAGTTCTACCCTTTCCCTGTATCACCTAAAGCTTTCACCAGTTGTGTTTGAGCTATGATCTGGCATAGATGGTTTTATGTATTTCAGTTTTGTGTATTGCCTGTCTCCATTCAGTGCAATGTAAGTTCCATAAGGAGAGATCTTTGTTCCTATAGTGTCTGCTACATAGTAAAAATTTACAAATAGTTTCTAAATGAATGAATATTAGCTTAGTATTTCCATCATTACCAAATATATATTTGTATATATTTACAAATAAACTGGTCAAATACTATATTCACTATTTTTTTTTACCTTGTTCTTGCCAATCTGATGCTTATGCCACTGAGCTAAATCCCTGGCCGCCATATATTCACTATTTCTAAAGTCTATTTCTGGTCTCTGCCTACTGGATGCCACCACCAGAAGGCCCTTTCCTATGGGTGCCCAGCACAGGCAAAAAGAGCCAGCAGATCTGCCTCAGCCTGCCGGTCACCGTCACCAGAAGGCCCTTTCCTACAGGAACCCAGCGTGGATAGAGAGATCCAGACAGATCCACCTCTGCCTGCTAGATGCCACAACTGAAAGGCCTTTTCCTATGGGTGCACAGCAAGGTAGAAAGAGCCAGACAGATCCACCTCTGCTTTCTGGGCTCCACCACTGGAAGGCCCTTTCCTGAGGTGACCAGCACAGTTAGCACCAGTAGATCCACCTCCACCTTCAGAGAGCTGCCATTGGAAAGCTTCTTCCTGCAGGTGACCAGCATGAGTAGGGACACACAGTCAGGTAAGCCCTGTGCACCTGTAGGCCACCACTGGAAGCCCTTGGTTCCTTTGGGCAGCCATCACCCAATAGAGGAATCAGAAAAATACACTTCTGTGTGTCTGTCACCATCATGGGAGTCCCAGTGTAGACACACAGGCTGAAAGAAGCAGCCCCATCTCCATGCATCCCTGATCATCAGGGAAGCCCCAGTGTAGCTGCACTGGTCTGGAGAAGCCTGCTCCATGCCCTGCTACGTCCTATAAATCTGGAGTTAGAGGAACCCAGGTGCCTGTCCCATTCCCCTACACTATGGAAGGGCAGCCAATGTGGGAAGTTCCTGGGGTCTTACAACCAGCTTGTTGGGAGGAACTCAGGAAAATGTCAAGATGAAAGAGCAAAAGGCAATCTCAGACCTCCAGCCCACACAGAACAAGTCTGGGAGATACAGTCATTGGAGAAAATGGAAGGTACACACCTGCAGTTTCTGAGAGGATAGCAATTGAAGTAGGCAAACAACTTCATGAGATTGTAAAAGCAGTCAAATCAGAAAGAAGAAATCACAAACATATTGAAGGAATTGCTCAGCAGGTCTAAAGACATAGACAAAAAATAGGAACATAGGAAAATGATGGAAACCTTGAATGACTATAGGAAAGAATTACAATGCATGAAACAGATTCAAAGAGAGATCCAGGAAATTAAAAGGTGGCAAAACTGCTTGAAGGAGACTGAACATAGATTTTTAAACCTTAAAGACAGGATTGCAGCTAGTGATCATGAAAGGAAAGATCTCTTAAAAACAACATGGAATCAGGAAATAACTCAATGGTATAATAATGCAAAGAAACATAATTTTAGGTATTGATGAAGAAGCAGGGGTCAACCCAAATGTAATTAAAAGGCTATTTACAGAAACTATAGAAGAAAACTTCCCAAACATGGGAAATGGATCTGACATGCAGATAAGTGAGGCATACAGGACTCCAATTAGTCATAACCAAAGTAAATCTATACTCAGCCATATAATAATCAAGATCCCAATAATCAAGAAATTCACCAAAATAAAAGAATATTAAAAGCTATTAAAGAAAAGAAATAGATCACCTATAAAGGTGATCCAATAAAGGATCACCTATAAAGGAAAACCAATCAGAATCACAGCAGACTAAGAAACATAAACCATCAAATCAAAAAGAGTTTGGGGTGAAGTATTTCAAACCCTGAAAGAAAACAACTTCCAGCCCAGATTGATCTACTCTGCAAAACTATCTTTCAAAATTGATAGAAAAATAAGATAGTTATGATAAAGAACAACTAAAGGAATTCATGACTACCAAACCAATCCTACAGTGAGTGCTAAAGAATATTCTAGAGAGAGATAAAGATGACCATGGTTCTAGAAACAGCAGCAGAGAAGGAATGCTGAACAACACAGACAATTGAATGAAGGGAAAAGTGGAGGGCCAACTACAGAAGAATAGCATGGCACAGACGAACCAATTGATGCTGGTTGTAACCATTCATGTAGATGGCTTCTGGTCAGCACTGGGAGAGTGGATCAAGAAACAAGATTCCTTGATACACTGCATACAAGAAACACGTTTAACTGGAAAGGAAATTCATACACTGAAAATCAAAAGAGAGAAAACAATTGTTCCATGTGACAAGAGAATAGAAAATTTAAAAAAAAAAAAAAAAGCAAGGTAACTTTCCCATCAACCACAGAATGAATAAGAAAGATACTGTGTTTTCATGCAGTGGAAAGCTTCCCAGCTATAAAGTAGAATAATCTCAAGGCTCCTGTAGGTAAATGGACCCAAATGGAGATCATGTTCATGGGTGAAACAGTTTGAACTCATACTCATGAACTCTAGCATAAGAAACTAAAGGAGTTAATGGGATTCAAAAAGCAAAATGGTTATTTTAAAAGTGATATAGGAGGAAACACCTGGGAGGGAAAGATGGTAACTAGTGTTAACTTCTTATTGTCTTGCCTTGAACTCTTGTTTAGTTTTCACGATTTTGTTAGGTTTGGCTTTGTTCTGTCTTGTTTTGTTAGATTTTACTCTGTCTGATGACAGGGGCAGCTATTTTGAATATAATAGAATATATTATAGTAATCTTTATTTCCTATTATATTGCTTTGAAGTCTTATAATTCTTTCATTCAATTAATTGGTTTTATTCTGCTTTGTTTGATTTTAATATATGTGATGGTATGAATAGCTATTTTGAAGAAAACAAGACTTTATAGTAGCCATTGCTGGTTTCCTATCATCTTGCTTTGAACTCCTATTATGCTTTTGTTCTTCTGTTTTGATCGGTTCTATCCTGTTGTGCTTTATTTGATTTTCTTATGTGTGATAGTATATACAACTTTTTTGAGGAAAATGAGATATTATAGTAGCCATTATTCATTGCCTGTTATCTGGTTTTGAAGTCTTGTAATGCTTTCATTTTTTGAATACTTTTATACTATTTTGTTATGTTTGCTATTATTATATGTGAAGGTATGCTCAACTATTTTGAAGAAAACAAGAGACATTATGGTAGCCACTGCTGATGACCTGTTGTCTTGTTGTGAAGAGCTGTGTTGCTTGCATTGTTCTGTCCTGATTTGCTTTGTTTTGTTTGTTTTATTCTCTTTAAAGTAAAAACAATTTGGAAAAAATAAAGTCCATTTCCCAGACTCATATTCCACTGAGTCTATAATTAATGTAATATATTTTCATACTTAACATCAAATCTATATTTATTTCTTTTTATGTATAATAAAATGTATGTATGGAATATATTCTTAGCATGTTTATAGTACATGTTTACATTCCTTCCAGTGAATCAGCACATGTACATAATACATCTTATTTATTTCTGAGAGTCCTATATTAGGCTCACACTGACACTTTCTGTCTTATTCTTTTTGCTTAGAAGAACAGAGTCAAAAGCACAAATGAAGCTCACAAGGCATGGGAAGATTGCCCTGGGTATCTTATTGGTTGTGACAGCAGCCATCATCATTGGACTCATTGTCTATTTGGTTGCCTATGGTAAGGATTCTTTATGTTTGGCTTTTTAGTCACATGGATTTGTTGAGTCCAGTTTGATAATATTAGAAATTTTGAGAATTAAAAAAGAGAAGAAATGAGAAGAGATTATTTCTAGGGTCAGCAATTTTTACTGCACTCTGTGTTCTTGTTTCTAAAGCTTTATAGGTAGAACTGATATATGTATAAACAATTGCACATTTAGCATCCATATCTCAGTGAGTTTTGATCTATGTATACATCTATGATATCCTCATTACAATTAAAGTAGTAGATGTTTTCATCTTCCTTAAGAATTTCTGTCTTCAAATTTTGTCCTTTAGCAACCATTAGCTTAGAGTGTCCTAAATCAGTGATTTGATATTCTTTCATGTTTTTCCTCTTAGGAAAGATTTGGATGCTGGGAACATGTTGATGAACAAAGTAGATACAGATCCCCCCTTTTCTGAATTTAACATTAGGGTGATAATAACAGTTAACAAATAAATATAAAATCTTGGACTGTGATTTCTTATTCTAAAAGTAAAACTTTTTACTCTAAAGTCTTTATTTTTCTCTATACAACATTTTTCTTTTAAGGTCTCCTTAGAAATTAGACTGTTCTCTAATATTTGGGGTGAAAGATAAAAACAACCTGTACTTATTTTTCAACACATATTTTGCACAAAATACAAAAAAAGTGGGAATGTTGGATTTTTCTTAAAAACACCTCTTCATAACATCCAGTTTTTACTAGTTTCTTTAACTCACTTTTCCTAGTCTTTTAAATGATGAGGACATTCTTTTTTCCATTTATATTTATTTTTAACTGTATATATTTATAGAGCCCACCTTGTGTGTGATAATTTAACACTTGAACATAATGGTTAATGATCAAAATAATAACCATTTTCAAAAAAAGATAATTACCATTTTCATTATCTTAATTGTTTCCATCTCTCCTTCATCTTCACTACTCAGTCTTCTATAGTCAGATCAATCATGCAAATATGATCACTACTTACCTGTTACTGATGCCAAACCATGAGGTATAATCATAGTCTATGTTCACAAAATTTGAATAAGAAGTGCTTGTTCAAGATTTGCCATTCATCAAGTGTGTTGCTAGAAACACACTTGTCTTGCCATTCAAAAGTGTGTTGCTATAAACAACAGAGGAAAAAAACAAATATTGCAGAAGCTATCTTTGGAGATGTACGTGTTTTAATTTTTTCATACTGTTACTATCATCTTGGCATGTGAAGAGCGGATGTGTTTCTCCCTTCATATCAAGGTGAGAGGTGGGCTTCTAAAAGAGAAGAATATGACTCAAGAAAGCCCTTAAAGATCAGGAACACAGAGGACTGGAGTCTGCCTCACACCTGGAATGTCTAAAAGGCAAGAGATTGGTGCTTCCTTGTTGAGCAGTGTAAGAGAAAGTAGTACTCAAGAGCACTTTGAAAATTCAAATCTCAGAAGAACATAAAGGCAGCTTCATATATTGGTGCCTCAGTTCACAAACACTTTTATTTGCAAACAATTTTATTTGCAGACTGAAATATTTGGCAAAATTTTGTTTTTTTCTGCATCAGATGATCAATATGACCACCGCCATCTTTCCCACATGAACACAAACACAAACACAGTGACTTTTCTAGAACAGAACCGTTAAATTCATGAACTGAGGTACAGCTATAACAGTCTCTTTTGATTGACACTCCCAGTTCCAACCAAAAGGTCACCTGGAGGAGAATTCAAAGCTTAAGTTAAAGCGCTAGTAGATACCTGATGTCTGCAGCTGCCCAAATGGCAAGAAAAAGTAAACTCAAGCTGGAATAAAGATATATTTGTCAATGACAAGAAAATATAATCAAGATATCTCCAGCAATGACAGGAAAAGATAGTTCAAATTTCAGCTTCATAATGCTCCTCTTTGTAGCGATGCTTTTTTGTGCCCTTAAAGATTTTGTAGTTCACTATCATAGACACCAAACCCAGAGACAATGAGCCAGCTTCCATAATAACTATTCTCTTGAGTCTGTACTTAGCTACAGAAAGGTGGCTGGGCAAACCAAAGCACAGCACAGATTTACACTCTTGAACATGTACCTTTATTTAGGATTCCCTGAAATGATAAGGACTCATCACACAGATTGAAATAAAAAAGCATTCACTGAGAAACTACTTTTGCGCTTAAGGCAGGGACCAAGCAAGGAGTTCCACAAGAATATAAAAGCAATGAAGAAAAGCTAGTAACTTTTCCTAGTGCTTGAATTTAAAACACACATCATCTAGATTAGTCTCAGTACATTTTTTTTTCTTTAAGATTCAATTAGTACGTATTTTCCTCTGTGAACCATTACAATTTCTGACACAATTACTCAGTTCTGCTGTTGTTGTGGCCAATGAAAATGGTAATTATCTTTTCGTGACATTATGTAAATAAAGAAGTATAGCTATTTTCCAGTAATAATTTATGGAACTAAAATTTGAGCTTCATATAATTTTTGCATTTCACCAAACATTATTAGTTAAATTCAACTTTTCAAAATGTAAAAACCATTCTTTGCTCATAAGCTTCCTCAAAACAGAGTAGTTTCAGCCCATGAACTATAGTTTTTAGATACCTGTTCTAATCAAATTAATTTTTAGCCCTAACTATACTTTGGAATCACCTACAATGTTTTTCTTAAAACTAGTACACATTGGCTGAGGATTTAGCTCAGCTGTATAAACACCTCCCTGGCAAGCATGAGGTTGTGAGTTTGATTCCTGGTACAAAAAAAAATAAAAAATAAAAAACTAGTACACCTTGGACAACAGGTACTAACTTAAAGTTCTACAGGAAAAGTAAGTTTTTGTGCCCTATTGCATAGGAGGGTGACTGGAGACAGTAATAAAGGATTGTATATTTCAGAGAAAATAGAAAGGATTTCAATGTTCTTAACACAAATAAATGATAAATGTTGGAAGAGATAAAAACATTTACCCTGATTTGAATGTTATGTAATATTTACATATTTTGAAACATCACATGGCACTCTACAAATTCCTGTAGTATGTCAATTAAAAAGCAAAACTACAAGAAACTAAATTAAATTCTAGTTTTTTACTTTTGCCAACATGAAAAATGCTAGCACACATCCCCTACTTTCACAAATGCTGTCTACAGAGAAAACTATGATTTCCCAAGTTCAGTTCTTCAGTTAGCTCTGCAGGACAGCCAAAGTTGAGAGTCATTGCTTTGGAGAGGCCAGATGCACATATGAGATACGGACATACATTGGTTTAGCACCTCAGCATCTTCTGGGTAGTGTTCTGCCATGCATGCGCTAAGTTACCAAGGTAATCTTGATGTACAAGATGGCTGTGGCAAGATAGCCATCATGCTTACTTCCCAAGCAGCCAGAAAGTGGACAAGGAAGATGATAAGTATGTCCTTTCTCAATAAGAAACATCTCAGAAGTAGATGTACTATTTTCCTTTTATTTCAGATTCCAAAGCATGATGTGCTCACTCACTCCTAGATGTGACAGGCTGAGAAATGTGGTTTTTATGTTAGCATTACATAGCATCTGCTCAGTTATATCCCCACAGAAAAAGAGAAGAAAGGAGACTAAGAAATAAGGCACAGTTTCTTCCCCCAGAAAGTTGTCACATTGCAGTGGATTAGTTAGGGAGGAATTGGTGAGGAAACTGACAGATTAGAGTGCTTGAAAAGTTTCTTGAGATGCATGGAGAAAAATCAATCATTTTGCTTTATGCTCTATTTTAAGACAATATTTGCCAATATTTCTCTGCTGGTTATAAAACATACTTTTAACCCCCCAAAATAACACCTTTACAATCAAGAACTATAAAGTGAAAGCAAAAGTACCAGAGTCCAAGCATCAAACAATAGTTTCTCAAATTCAAATGCATTTGCCTTGTCTTCTCATTTTTTACCCAAGGGCCAAAGGATATATACCTTCTCCTGAACTGTCTCTTCAGTACCAATTTTAATATAAATTCTAACAGACTCTTCAGCAGACAGCGTTTTGACTCTGCAGAGACTCATTTGGGAGAACCTGACTCGGAAAACTACTTTCAACAAGTCTTAAATATAGATGACATAAGTTGAAAATCAAGCTGAGAATACGCAAAACGGTGCATCTCCTGAGATCAGTGAAGCCAAGAACGGGAGTGACTGGCTCTCACAGAACCCAGGTCTGAGCAAATAATCGACCTGTGTGAGAAGCATGAAGGATGCAACTATGTAGGGACAAGTGTGCTGACATCATGACCGGTTCATTATGAGCCCACATGTATGTAAAGTCTAAATATCCACTAAATGAAAAAGATTCATGCAAATTAAAAATGAAACTGATACTGCTCAGACCATAGGTCAGCTGGCTTCCTTTTACAAAGGAAATCCATTTCCTTGAACAATGATTGTAGATTATTTTAAAGTAATTTTCATAATTATTGTGTACTGGAACATGTACTAATAAAAATTTAAAATTTTGAAAAGAAATTAAATAAAAATATAAGGATTCATCTCAGAGAGATGAACCCTGTCTATCATCTGACCTAGATTATTTGTAAAATACCACTCTTCTAGGGATAAAAATAACACTTTAAAGCAATCATATGAGCTAACGTTTTTCTGCTCAGAGTCTAGGTTATACTTAAAGGCAATTAGGACAGTGTGCTATTTCTTCTGGATGCCAATAAAGCAGTCAACTTATCTCCAGCCCTTCTAGCACAGTGCAGGGTGAGCTAATCACAGGAGCTGCAGAATGGCTTTACTAGTCAGCAGAGTTTGAAAGTCATTCAGTAGTTCCCACAAGTTACAGTTATCTAACCTCACTCCTCATCTCACAACCTGATGTCAAAACTTTGATATTTCTAATAATATGTAAGTTATGCAGTATTTGTGCAAAAGAAATATGTAATATCAAAAGTTGTATTTTTTGGAATTGTTCTAAATACATCCTGTGACATTGAAATATGACTTTAGTGATGACACATTTTAATGATTTCTACATAACTAGGCAATAATTTATTTTGTTACTTTACTACTTTAAGATCGGAGATTGTTATTTTTTATCTTATTTTAAAGAGTTTTTTATACATAGATTTATGTGCTACTCAGACACAAAATCAATTCTAAAGGGAAAATTATTAAATGCAAGATATGAATATATTTCAAGATTTTGATGATACACTATCTTTCAAAAAATTTTTTGTTTTGGTTTTGTTTGCCAATTTAATCCCCCAAGAAAGTATTTTATTCCACTTTGATTCATTTCAATTATTTGTATCTGTGAAAACGCATAGATAAGTCCAGATAATTAACTGCAGCCACTGAGATGAAGAATTTTCTTAGAACACTGCAAAACACTCTTACTTCTTTCTCCTTTTTATTCCCTCTCTCCTCCCTTTTCTATAGTTTTACTCATTTTTCTAGGTATAGCCTGTGATTATAGCAAAGACTAAGAAAATTACTATCCCATAATGTGATCTCTTTTTATAATGACATCTGTTTCCAGATTACCCAAACTCAAAAGCTGGCAAATTAAAGTTTTACATTTAAATTTTTAATATGTTTTAGTAAGGCTATAATTTAATTAATATTCCTCAATCAAAGCAATTTTAATAACCACTGGGCATCAAGACCATTTACATATCAAGTAACCTGAAACATATTCAACATATTCTATTTCACATGACTTCCATGGAATAAAAATGGTTACATAGTGATTGGTGTGAAAATATGCCTTTTTTTCTCTCATTCCCAGGAAAGATACCTTTCTACTACCACGTCAGCTTTAAAGTCAACAACATTGACTATAACAACAAATTTGCAAAACCATATTCACAAGAATACATGGACCTAAATAAAAAAATTGTATCTTTGGTAAGTCGATATCCTTTTCTATACAGTCCTTTAAAGACCATTTTGTAGAAAGGCCAGGATGTCAGCAGTCATTTTCGAAGTTGGAAACAATTCTTTTCCATTACCTCAGTTCTAGATTAGGACAGTCAGTCCTTTCAGAAAGTCAGTTACAAAACATGTATGGAGAAAAAAACTGAAGAAGTGGTATATTTCCAGAACACCTACAAAATGCCCGACATGAGAGATGATCGATTAACATTTTAACTGCAGTATATTAAATCATTATTTGAAGATTTAGCAGTCAGAAAAAGGGAGACAGAAAACCACCACCTTTTGTTCAGCTTTATTTAAAAAAAAAAAAAAAGGAAGCAACAGGAAAGCATTACTATACTGATTAAGAAATAAACTTTAGCCTCAACGCCCTGGTTCAATTCTAAATTTAACCATTGACCTGCTGTGTGACCTTCGCCCACCACACTTCCTCACTCCTCAGTTTCTTTAACTAAAAATGAGATCACAATGCTTATATGCCAGCACCATTGTGAGCACCTCAGATAAACACAAGATGAAGTGTGCCATGATCTAGTAAATCCTGTCGTTCTGTAAGTTCTTAAAAATGATATCTAAAATGTAATTGCCCCAAATGGGAGTGTGATTAAGATCCTGAACACATTGCAATGTATGACAAAGTTAGCATATAACTTCAAAACTGCTCTAGATATAACCACTAAGACGTCATCCTTTGTGCTATAAATTCAGACCAATTCATTGAAATAAATTAACCTATTTTTACTACATAATGAATATTCTGGTTAATTATCCCATCTTCCTGGTCAATCAAGTACAAATCCCTCTGCTTTCTTTTCAGCTTCCCTGCTTGAAAAACAAGCACTAATAAATATTTCTCATACTTTTCTCATTTACATGCGTCACAATACCTGTTCTCACATGCCTTTCTTCTGTTTTCATTGAGGGCAGTGATGCTTCAGGTATCATAGTTATGACCACATACACAATACTCATAAGTACATCATTGGTGATAACGTGAATTGAATGGAGTCATGAATCAGTAGACAAACCTGACAGTAATTATCATGACACCTACAGCCTATTATTATTCTAGTTTCTGCTATTTAATTCATGTGATGATTTACCCTAAAAAGAGAAAATAAATTGGGTGAAAAGAGTTGCTATCTTACTATAAATACAGTTTTTTAACTAAAAAGAATAGTTCTTGATAGGAAACATCTCTGTAGTTCTGGCATGTGGTTTGCCAGTGTGTGATTGAAAAACTCTCACTCTGTCTTCTTCCTTTTTTCCCATCTCTTCAGCAGACATGGTACCCAATTAAATGGGACAGAAATTCTAAACAGGAGTAGGGCAAGACCTTAACATAATAATTAAAATTTTCAATACAGTCTAAGCACTTTATATTTTGATATTTCATGCTCACTTTTCATACAAACAGAGGCACTCAAAATTAATTTACCCAGACATCCTTGCCTGTAAACTCTCACTTTGACTTTTTGTTCTGTAATTAAAGAGTGCACAGATATAAAATCATGAGCACAGTTCATATTACACATGGCTAGTCAAATATTCCAAAATGTTGAACAAAATTCAATTCAACATGGTTTAAGCTATCTAGATGCACTGACTGTAGATAACCAACACAATAACTGATATGTACAAGGCACTTAACATTGCCCATACAAAGCAGGTCACCCACACTGATGTAACAGCCCATGCACTGGGTCATCAAGAGTAAAGCACATCTTTGGTCAACGTACAGCTGGGGCATTTGTCAGATAACAAGGTTTCTACTGGGCTGAGTTTGCTGGGCTATATGTCTCTGGAAATTCCTATCACATGAAACATTACCTGCAAGATTCATCAGAAGTAGAAATGCATCATTTCTAAAGACAATGAAAACTATGACAAACATAATAGTATAAGTGAGCATGATATTCCAGAGTGTAAGTCCATCCATAGGCTCATTTTCAAGGTCTTCCCATCAGCATCATCTAGAGCTGGTGGGTTGGCATTTTGAGCATTTTACTTGGAGAAGTGGAAAGAAGAGAAGTATGTGGTTGCGAAAAGAACATGAGAGAGAAAAACATTCTAGATCTACTTGAAATTCAAGAGCAATATTTGGAGTTGTGATATGTGTGTCATTTGAATTTTCAATCTTCTTCTTATTTTGGGAAAATAAGTAGTTCTGAAGTCCTCAGCCTTGTTGTATAATCCCAGGTGGATTCCTGAGACTTGGCATTTGGACTCCAAGTCAACATCAGATAATCCTTTATCCAGAAAATCTGATAAAGGACTGCACTTTTGGAGAACAATAGATATTCTATGAGTGTCACTGGACAAATTCCCATAACTTCACTTTACAGTGTCTTGGAACACCTGTCGCATAAGATTATTATTTTCTATAAAAGCTACCAGTCCTGGTATTATTTAAGGTATGTGTTGATATTTTGAACTATGCAAGGTGAATACAAGGTAGAAAGTTATTAATAGGTTGAGGACATTAGAACACAGTATAAATAGTCTTTAGAAAAGAGAAGCGCTAACCAAAACATTAAAACATCAGGAGAATTTTGATTTGGAGACATGCAATATCAAAACTAGTTCTATATTATCCATCTACTCACAATTTTATTCAACAGTATGAAATGTTATACACCTGCATTCATATTGAAGCTTATATTTAAAAGTAACAGCATCACTTAATAACTCACTATTTGGTCCCCAGGCCAGTCTCTAACCCTCGTTTCAGCTCAGACCATTCATGTTCTCCACTTACCCTGCCATTATTTCTTAAAGCCAAGCTGTCACCTTTTCCTCCTTTACCCAATTAATCACCAGATTTTATTAAGTATTCCCTGAAAGTGGTTGTACCCTAACTTTCAAGGTAATACTGTTGTTTCAAAATAAATACAAATTCCTTTCTGTCTTCTAACCTTATTGAAGTGACAAAATAAAAATAAAAGTAAAATTATCACATTGTAATGTTCCTTACAACAACAAAAATAATGCCATTTATAAAGTTAGCAGTTCTAGATGATTAAACTAGAAATCTAATTATGAGTAAAATCTCAGCACCACAATTACTTACAAACTCATAATCCTGCAAGGGTAAAATATGGGTCTCCCATAGGTGAGTTTCCCAAGCAGAAGCTTGTAATAAACCTAAAATCAGAAACAAAAAAGATTAAGAAACCTAGATGTGGATAATTAATTAATTAATGCACTTGAGTATTTCAAGAGAAAGTAAGATACTCTAAATTTAAAAACTGAATCTAAGATTCTAGGAATCTTAGATAGTAGGAATATCAATGTAATAAGAAAAGAATGTAATATGCATTTAATGAAAATAGGGCAAAGCTTTCTTTATAGTACATCTAAATTCTTAAACACTCCAGTAATTTGATTACTATGAGCAATAGTAGTGTTTTGTAAGATATTGAAATATAAGCCCATATAAAATTAAGATTAATCACCAAAAATTATAAAATATTAAAATTTTTACTCCATTTACTTTTAGTTTTTAAGTGTTTAACATCCACAAAAACTATGGGACACAGAAAAATGAAACAGATTTCACAAAACTTATTTGACTAAAACTATAAAATCTTTTTGAAAATTATTTTAAAAAAAAGAAAATTATGAAAAAATGGGAAGAAAACATATGATCTTACAAAGGAAGACTCATCATTTTAATTATATCAATCAACTTCAAATTAATCTAAAAATTCACTAAAATCTTTTAGTGTATGATAAAAATGATATTTCTGATTCCATAAATAGTATTGAGACAATTGGCTAGTGTCCTGGAAAATACAGGAAGTAATATTACTTGTGTACTGGAAAATCATTGGGTAAATACAAGTAATGAACATGGCCAGAGATCTGTTTATGTATTTGAAAAATTTAGTGGAATAGATTAGTTCTTTACAGACTTTTCATGTCCATGAATCTTTTACTGTCAATTCTAATATTGTACTCTAAACATTCCAATTCAAAATGCCTCGTCCTGCTCCAAACACCTAGAGACACACATTTGTTCTGCCTGGTCTCTGTAGCTGTAAGTACACAGTCTATACCTTACTGCCCCAATTACCTCCTTCAGAGTAGAAACCAATCACTGTTGAACATATTCAAATTATATTTGCATAAAGAAAAGGACATCATTGAACAGAAGGGCTGCAAAGAGGGAAAAAGAACAATTAATTTTTTAAGGAGAAAAAGTAGATTTATGAAATAGGTAAAATTATTTCTGGGACCTTGGTGAGTTAACACTAGAATTATTCTGAGCTTATAAATAACTATATTGTTTTATCCTTCCCATAGAATTTTTCTTTCCCACAAGGAATATGACACAATATTAACATTGCCCTCCTAGAATGCAGTTCAGTACCTCATGGTGTTTTTGTCAGAGAAATTATTAGTGAGCTCATTCACCATCATCTTTAAAAACATCTCTTCGTCCAAGCCCTACCCTTGGCCAGCGCTGTACAAAATTTTTACGCGCATGTTGCTGTTCCTCTCCATGCCACAGTCCTGGCTCCGCCACCAGCCCTCAGCCTGGGGTCGGTACCACCCCGGCCTAGCTTCTGGCTGGTGTCTCCACATTGTTCCCAGGTGGTCTTGATGTCTCAGAAATGCTTATTTTACATGATTTGTCATGGAATTTGTTCTAATAAATCATTCTTGTACCATATGGCAGCAGAAAAATAAAATAAAAACGTATCTTGTGGATCTTTGTTCCCCTCTAGCATCATTTTCCATTTTACTTAACAAACAAAATGATGTTGGATATGCTGGCTTTGTCCACTTCCTCTCCCATTCTCATTTTAATTCAGCCCATCTCTGAACCTGTTGTCTTCACCCCACTGAATTTCTGTGATGGGGCCTCTGAAGACCTGTCAAATCCGGTGATCTTCTTCCTCGGTCTTCTCATCTTTATTTTCCTCCCTCTTAATGAGCTGTTCTTCAGGTGCCTTTATTGGTACCTTACCCTCTGCAAATCTCTTGGCACCAGGGGCCACCACCGCCCTTTGCAAGCCGAGCGTGCGTCCCTGCTTCTCCCACGCTGCTAGCTCTGGTCCTCTTTCCCTTGCCAGCCTCCCTCCTACCACCACACCCAAGGCCACTCAGTGAATGCCAGCTATACTGATAACTCCCCAAACACAACTCCTTCACCCCTAAAACTTTTCCTTCGGCATTCTTAGCCATCTCATTAAAAACACCAAACTCAATCCATTTGCCCAACCTAAAAACCTAGCAAAGGAATAATTTCCATCAGTAACAAATCTGCATGCTCTGTTGATTCTGTATCTAAATGTAACTTTAATCTTTCCACCTCTCATTAACAGCAGCCATTATCATCTCTCCCAAACTCCTACAGTTACCTCCTAGATCGTTCTTTCATTTTCACCCTAGTCTTCCCATGATCCGTTCTCCACACAGTAGCAGTGATTTTTTTAAAAAATGTTTTTATTTTTGTGTATGTTGGTGCTTGGAACTGAACTCAGGACCTCACACTTGCAGGCAGATGCTGCACCACTGAGCTACAGCCCCAGCCCCACTAAAGAGACACTTTAAAAATTAAAATCAAATTACATACACCAGCTTAATATTCTCCAAAGATTTTCAATTTTCTCATATTTATATAGAAATAACAATGAAAATAAATATAAAACAAGAAGAATAGTATCAAGTCATATAAAGCAGATTTTTAAAAGACTCTCTTGGCTGGCCTTTCCCCATTCCTCCTCTCCCTTCACACATTCTCTCACATTCCACCTTCAAGTAACCCATATTAACAACACAGGGCACATCTTTCCTTATTTCCCTCCTTACCTGTATTAACCCAAATAGAAAAGTAAAATGACATAGGTATGTTTGTTAGTACAGAGATTCATTATACAGTTTCATAAAAGTTGTTTTTCTTGGTACTACCTCTTAAAAATGTCTCTATGTCCATGTAAAGGTCTAACATAGTCTTCTCAATGACCTCAAAATATTCCTTAGTATGGATGTGGCAGAACCTTTTCATCTCTTTCCCTGCTTGTAGGTTTTGACTTATGTAATCAAAGTTGAAAATAAAAATCTCTTTACTACACCCCTGTGTTTTTAATCTGACAAGTATCTAGCATAAGATTCCTAAATCAAATGAGGACTTTAACATTTTATTTTATTTTATTGGTACCATGCATCAAACTCACAACCTTGCACTTGCCAGGCAGGCACTGTGCCACTGAGCTCTATCTCTGGTTTTCAAATTTTAATTTTAAAAAAGGCTGACAAGTTGCTCTTCAAAAAGTTAAAGCAACTCACCCAGGCAGGGTGAGCAAGTCTGTGCACCCCTCCCAGTCCCTTGAGGGTCTCACTTGACCCTTTGGAAACCTGGCCCCACCGGCAAGCTGCTCTCATATTTTTTGGTAAAAGTATGTCATTATTATTTCATTTGATATATTTTTTAAAATATTTGTTTCATTTAACCTTTCAGGCTGCAGATTTAGATTTGAAAAATGACAATCGTCTTTTTAAGTTGACCTACTGAATATTTAATCTTTCAATTTTTGGTTTTTAGTACCCTGGCAGCCTCTTGTGTGTGTGTGTCTCATTATTCTTATGTGTGCTTCTTTTGCCATATTGTTCATGTTGCTGTTTTCCCAAGCAGTTATAGTTATAGTTTAGGCAATATAAGAACTGACCATTGTGCAAAAGAAAACAGACAGAAACATCTCTGAGGACATTTCTCCTAAGTTTTATTGCATTGATACTCACTAAAAATTTGCATGTGGAAAGCAGTCGATGTGAGTTGGTCTTTTGAATTCACCTCTATCATGCTGTTTCAGATAATCTGGAAAAAATGTGAATATTGAATATTTAATATTAAGGAATCATTTAATTTGTGTAAAGCATAAAGAGGTTAAATGAAATAGATTTAGCTGTACATTGATAAAGGATCAAGCCAAATGATGGCTACTTGATTTGTTTAGTTCTATTTGTGTTTGTATATTTGAAGTTTTCTAAAGTGAAAACTAAAAGAAAAAAATGGAAAGCATACATCATTATCTATTTTACTTTTTTAACAGGTAAATGAAACATTTCATGAATCCAAACTGAGAAGGCTGTATGTCAAATCTCATGTTGTCCAAGTAAGGTATGTAATGAGACTGACAGACATAAGAGCTTCATCCTTCTATTTCTCTTCTTGTACGGAATGTTTCTGCTTGGCAACAACTGAAGGGCTGAAATAAATTTGAATTTGCCCTCTTTTATGGATCAACATGCTATCTTTCCTCTTGTTATTTAGTATTAGCATCATCAGGCATTAAAATGCTACAGATAAAATACTGTGCTTGGTATTATGCTGGGGATAAAAATTAAGTTTCCTAGTATAACCAAGAGTTTAAAATGGGTCTTCAAAACTCAGGTTTCTTTTTTCTTTTCTTTTGTTTTTTTTTTGTTTGTTTGTTTGTTTTGTTTTTTTTTTTAATGAAGTCACTTTTCTAGCATCCTCATGCTGAGGTACAATCCCTCCCAGCCCCATTGCTGGGGGCTTCAGCAGAACCAGATTTTCAGCATCTCCTGGCCTCTCAGGCCAGGGGGTTGGAACCTGCTCACATTCACACATGTGTGCTTCCTGACTTTTACCATGCCCCTTCTATAAATTAGACCACTTCTGTGGGCTCAAGGTGGGGACAGGCTCGCTGCTCTCCCAATTTGACTAAACTGTAAATAATTTATTTTTCCATTGCTATGGGCTTTTCTCAGCTCTCTGAGTGTGGGCAGGCAAATCAATCCAGACAGCAGGGATAGGTCTGAGCCTCTTAGAAGCCACTAGGAGCTCCTGCCACTAGGAGCATAATAACTGCCTTCACCACACTGTGAATACGTAACTCAAGAAGAAAAACTCAGAAGCATAAACTAAGATCATATGTTAAATTATTCTCTAGCATTGTTAGTGGAGGGAAAGTCTCTCTAGGAACAAAAGATAACTTTCAAAACAGATTAGTAAAAACCACTCCTGAAGGGGAAGACATTCTTGAAATACAATAATTCTATGGCCCTGTAACAAAAATTACATGAAATTCTACCCAAAAACTCAACTTTTTGAGCTACAACTGCCAACATTTTAAACTGTACCTATTTGGATATGAGTGGCATTAAAACAATACTTGAAATCCTAAATGTTCCTGCCTTCAACCCCAGGTATATTTTTTAAATACAGTTGGAAAAATCTGACTGGTTTAAGACTAGGATTAAGTATTTAAAGTAAATTAAGCCCATATCAAAAATAAAATAAATTTTTTAGTATTTGTAATAAAAATCTCAATGGCTGGAGTAAATAGGAGATATAATTATTTTCAGTGTCCACAAAAATATAAATAAATATATCTTTTCCAGAGTAACGTCAGAAGTGATTTCTTTTGTAAATGTAGAAGGGAAAAATAACAGCTACTAATACATGTAGGAAAGTTAATATGATTTGAAATCCATTTGTGCTTAAAAGTACATCATATGGTATTTTATATTCTTGGATTATTTTTAAGTAATTACTGGTTTGTTTTTAATGCTCTTACGCAGTATCTTCTTAGAATTCCTTCCCCCGTTATTTAGTATTAGTTATAATCCTAGATTGTTTATATTTACTAGTTTCACATTTTATGGATGAATAAACTAACGCCAAAATAAGTATCTTGTGAAGGTGACATATTTAATAAATAATAAACCAGTAATTGGACCTCAGGCAATCTATCGAAATCACTTTACTAATTTGTCTGGTCTCCAGCTTTTGCTCCTGCATAACTATAATTTATTCTCTTAGGGGCTGGAGGTTTAGCTCAGCGGCATAAGCGCCTGCCTTGCAAGCAGGCAGTCCTGAGTTCGATCCCCGGGACCGATAAAAAGGAAAAAAAAAAAAATTTATTCTCCAAATAGTGACCAAAATGAGCTGGAAAAGTATTCCGTCGCCCTGCATGACGCCCCCTCACAGCTCCCCACAAAACCCAGCTCCTCCTCACTGCGATCTCCCTGCTACCTGTGCATGCACTGACTTCACTAGTCCTCAGTAAACACACCGCAGGGGTTCCTATCCCAAAGCCATCAAACAGACAGCACTGAACAAAGTTACACAGACTCAGGAGACTTACATAGTGTTTTTGCAACTAAGAAAAAAAGCCAGAACTAAGCCCAAACCCACAGTAGCAGAGTTTTGGAGGCAGAGATGAGAAGGAGAGTTTAGGCCTCTGCGTGCTAATCCGCTTTCCTAAAGAAACAGTAAGGTTTCGCTGCCCTCACTTCTGGGAGCCCAGTGCCCAGCAGGGCTCCTCGAACCCTCTAGAGAAACCAGGTCTGGGCTGCCTTCTGCTTCGTTGGTTCTCTTTTGACCACGTTGTTTTCAGACCCTCGGAACATCATTTCCAGGGTCCTTAAAAGGTGAACACGCACTTCAAAGAAACCGAAAAAAAAATCATAATTACAAGTTTTATAAACGAAGTGCTCTGCAAGCATAAAGAACAGGGGCTGTGGTCAGGAAGAAAGCTGAGGTAATAATAACACAGCTAATGGAACCGTCAGCTTGCCCCACCTCTTGCCAGAACGTTCCTCCTCAGATCAGCATGCTGTACTCCTAACAGCCAGGATCTCACTTCAAGGAGGCCTGCGAAAGCTGCGTCTCGGTGAGACCCGAGCAGCATGCTCCCAAGAACCCTGTGGTCTGTGCTGATGTAGCACTGGCACCCAGGCCTCTGCTTGGCATATTATTTGGCAACACAACTGTTAAATGAACAAACAAATGCAAGGTTTAGAAATGAAAAGCAAAACTGCCTGTGGCATAGAACTGCAGACATTGTCAATAAAACTAACAAGCACTTTGTGAATCAAGAAAGGTTAAAAGAAAAATGACCTTTAGGTCATATTTTCAATGGTAAAGAGGATCCTTCTAGTCTAATAGCATCAGAATACTAATTCACACATCTATATTTAGTTTGGCTTCAGGTTATTATTTGATCCAGCAGAAGAGTTCAGAGTGACATTTGCAGTGTGAAAAAATATTGAAAATAAACAAAATTATGTCCTTGTCTTTCCATAAACAACAAAGGTGTTGTCCTACATTTCACCTGCCAGAGATGTAAAAGCAGAGACGAAAATCCTTAATAAACTGATGTGAAATTATTAATGGCTCAACACTGCATAAATTAAAATTAAAATAACACCCTAAAAGGAGGGATATCTGGTACACCTACACTTTTAAACTGTTAAAGTCTGACACAGAAATTAACATATAACCTGAAAAAAATTATTGAAATAAGAAGGCAATATATTCACTGAGAAAAACATGGGTCATGGCCATGGTTTGCATTTTTGTTCACAGGTTTGGGAAATACATGTTTTCGGGATCTTCTTAAATTATATAACATTCCAGGTTAGTGATTTTCAGGTGTACAAATCCTAGAGATGCTTAGGAAAAAGTAAGCAAGCCTAGCAAGACAGACTAGAGCAAAACAGATATTCCATCAAATCAGTAGAGGTTACTGCCTGTAAAATACTGCCTCTAAAACCTGTTGTGGTAATGCATGCCTATAATCCCAGCACTTGGAAGGCTGAGGCAGGAGGAACACAGAGAGTGTAAGGTCAACCTGACTATGTAGTGAGTTCAAGGCCAACCTGAACTACAAAGCAACACCTTGCCTCAAAAAAACAAAAACAATAATTATAATTAATTAATTAAATGCAATTTCTGGCTTACATCTTTGTATCTTCATGCCAGAATGACAAATGAAGAAAGGTTAATTTAACAGTTTTTCTCTCAGTCCTGATTCCCAAAAGTTAAAGGACAAATAGACCAATATTGCAAATTGTCCAATTAAAAGAAAATCAATATAATAAAATTTTCTCTCATTACTAGCTCTTTTTAATGTTATTATTTTCTATTAGACCTTCGTAAAGTCCACAAGTGGAGTTATAATACATTTATATAATAATTTTTATTCAATAGTCTGAGGTTTTCAAAATACCTCTATAACCATTATCCAGAAGATGCCTACATTTTATAATGATGCTTATAATAACCCAGAAAATATGATTACCATCCACATTTGGGAAAAGAGGAATCTTGATAAAGAGAGTGCAAACAGCTTGCTGTAGTCAAGAAGTTGGCAATAGAAGGTCTAAAATACAAACTCTGTTCCTCTGAATTTAAACCATGCTCTCCACTGTTACAAAGTGCTGCACCTGCCACCTTGGGAAGGGCTGACAGTTAGCAAAAGACAGAATCACTGCCCTTTGGTATTTCTTTACCTCCTTATCCCTGCCACTGAGAATGATAGAATCTCAGTAATAAAAATCGGTTTGTTTATGTTTTGCAGCCAAGCCAAAGGGAAAGTGGTGATACATGTTGTGCTGAAATTTAAGTCCTGTTATAAAAATAGTTCAGCAAAATTTTGGGAAAGAATTGAAACCATTTTACGTGAGAAGCTAAAGCAACAAACTACATCATTACTGATAGATTCTTCCTCGTTTAAATTTTCAGGTAAGAATATATATACAGTATAAATGATTTACAGACTTTATTTTGAATAGAATGTTTTGTTATACAAATGAAAATCTCATTCTTTTCTTTACATATCACTTCATATAAAGTGATAGCTACTTTTATCAACTACTAACGTAGCCAGGGTCCCAACCATATTTTACGAAACAAGTTATCCTTAAACTCATAGCTTCTTCTGTAGAGTATGACACTATCCTCAATTCTCCCGATACCTCAGAAATCTAAATTTCTAAATCCCAGAATTGTTTGAGCCTCTTTAATGTCAAGCTTAAGTCTTGATGTACCTTTAATAGAATCTGTGTTTCTCACAATCACATATGACCCGTCCTTATGCTTGAATACCTAACAATATTGCCTGTTCGCCTCTGAACAGTGGGAAGAGAAGCCCACAGTGACTGAGCCTTCAGTTTCTACTCCACTGGGCTCGGCCAGGCTGAGCTAGCAGTTCTCTGGTTCAAATTTGATTGACCAAGCGCAGAGTGTCACTACCCTACAAGAAGGATTAAGAGATCTAGGGTGGGGAACCTAGACCAAGTACACATTTACATAGAACATCCAAGGGATCAAAAAGCAAATCTAGGATGCTTCTCCTGGATAAGAAATCATCATGTTGCTGAAATGTGACTCACCTTTGGTTATTAGATATTCTCTTACAACCTTCCTTCTACACAGCTTACCCTCTATATAGTGACCTCGAACAAACTAAAAGAAATCCAGCAGCCTTCCAATGTGTACAGAATTTGTTTCAAGGAAAGATTTTTAGAAGCTCATCTGCTAAAATCTTGAACTGTAAAGAAATTGCGTTGTATTTCCAACAGTCCTCTAAACCTTAAAAACACTATGTACAATTCCAAGAAAACAGACTGCCTTCTGGATGTTCGGTTTTTCTCAGGGGTTTTGTTCCAGTTTTTACGTATAGTTTTACAAAGAGCAGTAACTATTATATGTGACCCATTACGTTCAGACTGCTTTGGAATTTGGTCTCTACAGGTTGCTGACAAACTCCCTTCCTCTCCCCCTTCATCTTCCTTAGCTCAGAAGGGAGCTGCCTCATAAACCTGACTGGGGCTTCACAAGAGCAGGAGCAAATCCCACAGCTGACAAAACCCCTCCTACCAAATCACACTGAAACAAGTAGACGCCAGGCTCACATTCACGACCACACACAAGATGGACTGTTACCATGCAAGTGGGTCTGGGCTGGAAGGAGCTCTGAAATTTAGGGAGGCAGGCAGAGTTGCTGTTACATTACATGGAGTACCCTGACTCCCTACTCTGATTGTTCAGTTACTTAGCATCTGCACCTAAACACATAAAGATTGTGAATTGCATTTCCATACAACTTGCTTAACATAGAGGAAGGAAAGCCACTACCTCTTATGGCTATGGCTTAGACATCATAGCCACGATGAACAGCTGAAAACAGCTCCAGTATCCTAAGTTACAAAGGCCGGAAGAAGGTGCTGCAGCCCCAGGATCAGGGTGAAGGATTTTGTTATTCAGTGGACTGAGATTTGGAGCCCAGAACTTCTGTATATCAGGTACTTGCCTTTGGGCCTCAGTCTAACTGTCTCATCATGAGAATGGACATAACAGTAAAAAATGTTTCACAGAATTGTTGTGAGGACTTTGAAGACCTCATACATTATCAAGCACTTGAAAAATACAACTGATAAAATATGATTTTGAGTTTTTATCAGGAGGCAAAAAGGTAGCAATTTCAGAGATTGTTAGACAGATAATAAGCTATTATTTTTATTAATAGTCACACCCCTAAGCTCCTCCTGAACTCAGGGTGAACTAAGGGGGAGGGGAAGAAGTGCAGAGGATGCTAAGGCAGAGCAACCTCACTTGAAGATCCCTGCAGCTTCTCCCAGCCTCCGCCAAGAGAGGGGTGACTATCCCACAGAGCTTAGGTTTCTTCATCTTTGGAAAGGAGATTGTGACATGCTATACTTTCAAAAGAAGTTTCTTTAAGGTTAAAGTTTTAAGGGTTTTCTTTCAGAGTAAATGAACACACTCCTTTAAGCACTTAGCATAGCACATGGCATAGAGTAAATATATATGTGTAATATATGATATATGTATGATATTTCTCATACATTTATCTCAAAAGAATATTTTCCCAGCCATCAGAAGTATTCTCCTAATAACTGAACACTTACTTGTACACATAACAACCAATGCAATATTAGAGACATAGATATATATTCATGTGAACTCATATATATGTATGTGCGTCTGTGTGTGTATATATATATATATATATATATATATATATATTTACATGGATTCAAAACAGGATAGTAAATCTCATTAAAGAGATTTTACAAGCCTTAAGAAATAAAGCAAAGATAAAAAAAATTATTGCTTTTGTGGAAATAAAAAGGTTGGTAAAATACCCATTAACATCCTAGCTCTTAATAATTATACTTAATATGTACCTCTGGAAAGTTGTTTTACATAATTTTTGGTTATTATAATAAATCACAACCATAAAATGTTTAAACCATCTGCTATGGGTTTAATTTATTTACTTATTCAATAACCGCTCAAAAATACTGATCATGGCCTAGGAAATTTAAGTAAAATTCCGCCTTACTAATTATTTGTTGCTTATTCTAATAAAAATTCACTTTCTCTATGTACATATTAAAATAAGTATATAAAAAGAGTTTTGTTTCAAGACTTTTTAAAAAGTAAATCAAAACCACAGATTTTCCACTTAGGAGTTTTATTCTGTATAACTCATACCATAGTAAGTCATTTATTCCACATCAGTATCAGTACCAAGGACAGTGAAAATAGTTTTCTGACTTCTGAGTGTCAAGCAAATGCATGAAAACACTATTTTTATTGGACATGAGACATTTACTAGGCTTTAGAGTTGGTAAAGACCTTAGAGAATTTTAGTCTAGTTACCTCATTTACAGGTAAAGGAAAACGAGATTCAGTGAAATATAACTATGCATCCTAAGTCAAAAAACAAACACTGGGCACACCAAATGCTTGAACATGAGCCGATTCCAGCTGCCCTGTGTGTCTCTACACTATATTTACAAATTGGTTTGGAATTGATGGCTGCACTATAGTACAGGTTTAAACTTCTCAATGGCAAAAAAAAAGAAAAAAATTGCCTTCTTTTTATCAAATCTGTTGTTGATTTCAAATCCAAATCTCTTGAACTATGTCTTCAGTTTTAATATCAACAAAGAAAGCTGTAAAATTATAACAGAAAATTACTAAGATGAGATATTATAAAACATTAAATTTAGTAAGTATTATGAGGTAATAATACAAATGCCTTCTTAGACACTGTGGGGGACTCTAAGAGAAAGAGCATATCCTCTCCCTCAATGAAAAGTTTACTTGCACTTAGCCTTACACTGAGTTAGTATGTAATGAATGAAAGGCACAGTTAGCATCATTATTTCACAAATGTGTTTAGTTTCAAGTATAAACCACATGACGTAGATCGGATAAAATGCTGTCATCACTGCACTAGGTAAAATCAAACAATGACTACAAGTTGCTAAACAAGAACAGCTAAAGCCTCTCTCATGGCTTGCAAGCCCAAAACCCTGTCTTTCCCAGTCCACAGTCACAGGTTTTGACCAACAGTCCCAACCGAGGTCAGAAACACATCTATCATGGAGGCACATTTTTTCCTTCAGAGCATATCACGCAGTTTTATCAGATATTTATTAAGGTGAATACACAAGGCTAAGATACACATTTACCTGGCAGTAAATAGTCGTTGGGTGAAATAGTGAATTTCATAATAGCAAAGCTACAGCTTACAACCATATAGAAGGAGGGAGTATTAATTCTCAACTAAGAGAGAATCAAACTCTAAAGAAAATGGCATGTTGGTCATCTTTTCAGTTCTTCCAAAGATGAGGCATCTATTACCAGTATCACTAGACATGCATAAGAAAGAAGTTCACTCATTTCACTAAAAGTTTGCCCAGGGCTTCACAGCTTATTTCTCTTGCAGAATCCAAACTAAGGACTGATGGCATATGAGTATTCCTAGAAGACATTATTATCTTCAGATTTAGATTGTAAATCATTTCTCACTTGGAATATTTAACATTTTTTTCATACCTATTCAATTCACTAGGTTGGGTGTACCATTAATAAACAAGGTTCAATTACTAAGAAAATGAATATAATATGCAAATTCATTTTCCACTTATTCTTGAATGCCATGAAAGGTAACTATTCCTCTGAGTTTCAAGTTACTAAAAAAACCAGTATTTCTGCATAATGTTCTTCAGTGAGAGCTCTAGGATTTCTAGATGTTTCAAACTACTGTGACTTTTAAATTCACTGTTTAACATAAAACCTGGAATAACCTTTAATACTATAGTTTTCCTTCCCATGAAAGAATTATTTCTTGGAATATCCTGCATATGGAAAATTCTTTACCCAAATTCTACTGATTTTAATAGGAAACTTTATGTAATCCCAAATCCCAACATATATATATATATATGTGTATATATATATATATACACACACACATTTATGCTTAAATCTCACATTGCTTTGAAACAGTGATGATTACATCAATAGTTAAATTAGTTTTCCCTTTTTTATTGTGCAAGAGCTTACACAACCTTATTAAGCTCTTTTATAGATTAGCAATTAAAACAGAACATATATGTAATATTTAATGTTTTTATAATTCAGTTTAATGCAAGACCAAAAGGGAAGCAGAGGAAGGGAGGAAGACAGGGAGGGAAGGAAGAAGGAAGGAAAGGCAAAGCAGGTGATGTGATGCCTCACATGCCACACCAGCTGACAGCACACCAAGTTGCACAGAACTACCGCTGCCATAAACTCAGGCCGTGTTCTGAGGCAAAAATGTAACACTAGACTTGCACAACCACAAAGCTGCAAAGACAACTATGTCCTGCTTCCCTCTTGGAAGCTCTGGGAAAAATTCCAAAGCAGTTCTTGTAAAAGCAAAGAAA